GCAGCGGGAGGGGCTCTCCCAGCGGGGGCAGCACGGCCGAGGCCTCGGACACCGTCAGCATTCGGAGCAGCGGGCAGTTGTCGGGCCGGAGCGTGTCCCTGCGGAAGCTGAAGCGGCCCCCCCCGCCTCCCCGCCGGACCTACTCACTCCATCAGCGGGGCCCGGCAGCCCCCGACGGGCCCTTGGGGTTGCCGCCTAAGCCTGAGCGGAAGCAGCCGCCGCAGCTGCCCCGGCCGCCCACCACCGGTGGGTCAGAAGGGATGGGGGCAGCCCCCTGTCCCTCCAGCTCAGCGGGCACCTGGGTGCCTGGCTTGTCTCCAGGGGGCTCCCGGCGTCCCCCACGCTCCCCAGAACGGACGCTCTCACCCTCCAGTGGGTACTCGAGCCAGAGTGGTACCCCTACCCTCCCTCCCAAGGGTCTCACAGGGGCCCCTGCTTCCCCGGGCAAGGCCCAACCCCCTAAACCAGAGCGTGTCACTTCCCTTCGGTCTCCTGGGGCCTCGGTCTCCTCCTCCCTCACGTCTCTCTGTTCCTCATCCTCTGACCCAGCCCCCTCAGACCGTTCTGGTACACAGATGTCGACCACCCTGGGTGACAGGTTTGCCATACCTCCTCACCCCAAGGTGCCTGCCCCCTTCTCCCCACCCCCTTCCAAGTCCAAGAGTCCTAACCAAGCGGCTCCTGCTCCGGTTACTCCTGCTGTGGTCCCTGGGCCCGTCTCTACCACTGATGTGAGTCCTGAGCCTCTGCCAACTCCGCAGACCTCCCTGATCCCACCACAGGAGTCTCCCGTTGGGTTCCCATCCCACAGGGCCTCCAAAGACAAGTCACCCCCACCATCCCCACCCCCATCTTACCATCCTCCCCCCCCACCCACTAAGAAGCCAGAGGTGGTTGAGGCCCTGTCTGCCCCAGAGACTGCGGAGGAGCCCCTCCAAGACCCCAGCTGGCCCCCACCCCCGCCTCCTGCACCTGAGGAGCACGACCTGTCCATGGCTGACTTCCCCCCACCTGAGGAGGCCTTTTTCTCTGTGGCTGGCCCTGAGCCTGCGGGCCCTCCAGACGCCCCAGAGCCTGTCAGATCCCTGGCTGCTGCGTCCTTCCCAGTGACCGTCTCTTCCCAGAGCCAGCTCCTCAGTTCCCCAGAGCCGCCTCCAGCTCCACCAGCCCCACCTCCGGCTGCTTCTGTCCCAGGGCTTCTGGCCAAGGTCCCTCGGAAGGAACCAGTGGGCTGCAGCAAAGGCGGTGCGGCCCCCAGGGAGGATGCTGGTGCGCCCCTGGTCACGCCCTCGCTCCTGCAGATGGTGCGGCTGCGCTCTGTGGGCGCTCCTGCGGTAGCTGCGACCCCGGCCCCCGGGCCATCCGCCCCCCAGAAGCCGCTCCGGAGGGCCCTGTCAGGGCGGGCCAGCCCAGCGCCTGGCCCCTCCTCAGGGCTCCATGCTGCTGTCCGGCTCAAGGCCTCCGGTCTGGCTGCCAGCAAGGACCCTGTGAGTGGCCAGCCCAATGGACCGCCTGAGGCGGAGCCACGGTCTCCCCAGTCCCCTGCCTCTATGGCCAGCTTCATCTTCTCCAAGGGCACCAAGAAGCTGCAGCTGGAGCGGCCGGTGTCCCCTGAGGCCCAGGCTGACCTCCAGCGGAATCTGGTGGCTGAACTTCGGAACGTCTCAGAGCAGCGGCCATCCCAAGCCCCAAAGAAGCCACCTAAAGCTCCCCCACCCGTGGCCCGCAAGCCCCCGGTGGGGGTCCTGCCATCCACCTCCCCCACCTTTCCCCGGGTCGAGTCCCTTCCTGCTCCTCCCACTGACGGGCTCCTTCGAGCTGAGGACAGGACTAAGGGGGAGCCGGTGGAGAACGGAAGCGTCGTGCAGCTGGTGGGCCCCGAGGAGCAGAAGCTGGGCCCGCCTGGCTCAGGTACAGTGGATGGTGTGTGTGTGTGTGTGTGTGGTCGGGGGGTCCCCCCATCACTGGTGGTGGGAAAGAGGTGCCTGAAGTCCCGCTACCGGGGATCTGTTACCAGATCTTCCAGATTTTTCTGGGGTCAGGCTGCCTGGGAAGGGTGAGCTGTCACCCTTGATAAGCTAGCGAAGGAGCCTGGTGTGTGGGCCTTTGAAGTCAGACCTACTGAGTTCCACCTCAAGTTTGCCATTTTCTCTCCTCATCCTGGCCTCCAGGTCCTCGCCATAAAGCGCAGGGCGGCGGTGCCTGCCTTCGTGTGTGTAAAGCATCTGGCTGGTGCTGCGGGCGAGGCCAGTCAGTTGAGGAGGAGAGGCTGTGCTGTGGGCCGTCCAGAACCAACTGGGAGGCCCCCTGCTGAGTGTGTCCTTCTCCCCCCCCCCCCCCCCCCCCCGCAGACCCACAGAAAGAGCTGGTCTGACCACCAGGCACCTCGCTGGCACTGCTGACCCATCCCAGGAACATAATCTCAGGGACCTGAGCAGCTCCAAGGACGAGAGAATACGGCAGATCTAGTAGGACGCCTGCAGCCTTAACCTTCACAGCCTTCGATATTTATGCAAGCCTGGTGGTGATCCTGTCCTCCGAGTCATCCAGCACATGCCTTTCCCCCCTGAATGGATTCCCCTCTGGCCGCTTGTCTTGGCCTTGGCCTCATCTCGGAGGAGGTAGCTGGTGGGAGCGGGTGGCTGCGCCCCCTGCTGGCCTCGAGGCCACACTGTTGGGAGCAGAGCATCTCATTTGAGTTTCTTTCCTTTTACCCCCCATGTCCAAATCATGCACATACGGTAGTCCCGAATCAACGCACTTTTGAAAAGCAGCTGCATGTCCATCCTCCAGGGCCCACGAAGCCACATTCCAAGGGCCTGTTTACATGGCGGCAGCATCAGTCCCCGTTTAGCCAGCCCATAGCGGGGACCAATCTGACCCCTCCCTCTGATCCGGTTTGCCCATTTCTTAGTTCTTGGAGGTGGGCGAGTCACTATTCCCACAGGTTTCTCCAGGCTGGAGGCAGGAGCGGGGCTGTGGAATTCCAAAGCACAAAGGGTGCAGCAGGGGTTAGCCCTCCTGTGCCTCAACTTAGCACCAACCACCCTCCTTGCCTTCTAGTTCTGCCGGGTGCTCCATGCCGGGGACAAGAAGTGGGGGACTGCCAGGGCCTAAATGGGGGTGGGGGGTGGGGGAGAGGAACCAGACGGGAGGTCCACAGGCCCTCTGTCTTCAGAGAGTGGGAGAACGGAATAGGGAGACATCTCAGTGGGCACTTGGTGATGCCAAGCATCCGCCCCTTGTCTCACTGGGTCAGGTGGGGGTGGGCAGGCGCTACACTTCCGAGGCAGGAGCCCATGGGCTGTGGCAAAGCTGTGTCCCTTTCAGCTGGGCAGGAAGTCCTGAGGAGGTGGGTGGAGGGGTCTGGCCGGGGGGAGCGCTTGTTTGGGCAGTGGGCCCGGACCTGGCCCTACAGATTACATTCTGTGACCTTTCTCTTTACTCAGTGCATGTTCTTTCTGCAGCTGCCTTTTAGCCCAGGCGGTTTCACGGGGTTGGGGTGGAGGGGGGGGCGCTGGCGCTGAGTGACAAGGATGGGAACCCAAAGGTGCATTCTATTGCAGACTCTTCCCTAGTCAATGAAGGGGGGTTCCGTGCTCCTAGGGAGCAGGCTGGGTGATTGCTCCCTGGCCGTCAGCCTCTGCTACTGAGCTCTCCTCTAGGAATTTTAATGACCTCTTTTCAGCCTGTGCCACCTCTCTAGGTAAGCTGGCTTCCCCACCGGCCCCGGCGCTTCCCTCGTCGTGTGGCTCCCACCTGGGCCACCCCTTCTGTCCTGATCCTCTTTCCTCAACAGTGACTTGGGCTTGAGCCTGGCAAGGAACCTCACTTTTAGCTGCTTCTCTGGAGAGACTGAACCCCTCCCAGAACAAGAGCTGGGAACACAGGGGATGTGGTACGAGAGCCCAGGTTCCTCTGGCCCACCCTCACACTGTCTTCTCCCTGTAGCTGTCAACCACGGTTGTTCCCTTGCCCCACGGGTGAGGGAGAGCAGCTACTGGGTACCCACTGCACCTGCCCAGTGAGCTGGGGAAAGAGGATAGTCATTATGCACTGCTCTGCTCAGAGCTCCTGACCCAATGCCCTGGGAACCAAGACCAGGCCAACGCCTCCACGAGACCAGGCTCTGGCGGCAACCCAGAGCTGCTGGAGGTGGGAGGGAGCCCAGCTTCTGTGTTTCTTGCTCTCCCCTCTCAATGTTACTTGAGCTCCTTATCCTCAGCTAGAATCTTCTGAGCTTGTTTCCCCACTGGGTGGGACAGAGTACAAAGGAGAAGGGAGGATCTAGAAGAGGCAACCCTTCTTTGTCCTCTGGGGTAAATGAGCTTGACCTAGTGCAAATGGAGAGACCAAAAGCCTCTGATTTTTAATTTCCATAAAACTGTTAGAGAGAGAAGTATATATATATTTCTTTAAATTTCTGAGTCTTTGATATGTCTATACAAACAATCCATTCCCTCTGCCCTGAAGCCTGAGTGAGACACATGAAAAAGCTCTGTGTGTGTTTCATTCAAAGGTGTTAATTAAATGATTAAAACTTGGCTGTGGTTTGCTGCTTCTTAATGGGAGAGGGACAGGGGTCTGGGACTGCGCCCACTATCAGGAGGGAAAATATTCTTTCTGCCTGCTGTAAGCACTGGACCCCGAAGTGGGTGTCTTCTGCCCACCCTTTTTTTTTTTTGCTAGAATCTTAAGCAGGCTCCGCACCCATCGTGGAGCCCAACACAGGGCTTGATCTCACCCTGAGATCATGACCTGAGCCGAAATCAAGTCTGGCGCTTAACCCACTGAGCCACTCAGGCACCCCTGGCCTCTTCTGCGTTTACGGCCAAAGGAAAAGTCGAAGTGTCTCTGATCCATCCAGTGCCGCCCCCCGCCGCATTACAGGGTCAAAAGTCCAAGATACAAGCAGCCTGGGCTGGGTGAGGGGCCCTGCAGCTGCTCCACACTTGTGTTCCTCCCTCCTGAGATGGTCCGGCTCACAGGCCCCATCCAGACACTCTTGTTCAGTTTATTTGAATTCTTGACAGTGACAGTGATTCTGATCAAGATGCCTTATGGAGAAGTACCCCACCCTCTCTGAAGAAAGATTCAGGCTCTGCCATCGGCCTTACTTCTGATATTAACACACAGCTGGTTTAGGGAATGTCCCAACCCCGCAGGATCAAGGGAAAGAAACGGCAGGAGCCCCGGGCCTGGGCCTCAGGGTTGGCAGGCACTGGGGAAAGCTGCCCACCACTTGGTAGACCACTAGGTTCTCTGTTTTCCCCTCCCTTTCCTTTTCGAATCCCACAATTTCCTGTTGGGGAAAGGCTGTAATTAGCTCAGTTCAGGCACCAGATCCCAGACAGAGGCACAGCTGCTGGGAGAACTCTAGGAAAACATGGGAACCAATATTCTTCCAATTAGAAGGGCTGTGGCATAAACCTTTTCTAGGAGTCCTATTGCAACCAGATTTCTCCAGTCAGCTGCCAGGGGGAGAAGGTAGAGCTGGGCTCCCTGCTGCCGCCCCACCCTCGTTACTACCCGGGGGCGGGGCGGGGCGGGGGCGGGCAGTCAGCGGCTCTGTAGTAGCCCAGCAGCCCCGACAGGATGGTTCTGGATTCTGGGGAGGCTGAGCTGCCGCTTACTGAGTTCCACCCCTAATAAAGTCCCCAACTTCCTGCTTTGGTGTCCTGGGAGATGGGGAGATGGGTAAATGGGTGAAGGACGGAGCAAACTGAGACAGCAGATGACTCGGGATGGGAGGAGGGAGCAGGATGCCAGGATAGCTAGCTGATGTTCCCCCCTTTCAGCGATTTACAGGAGATGCACCCCAGCTTGGTCATGAAGTCGGTTTGCTTCCACTGTGCGATGCAGTCCTCAGAGGTTTTAAAGTCAACCTGCACAAAATAAAGAGAAGCCGTGAATGTGGCGGTGAGAGCAGCTTGAGGACAGCCCTTCCCCACGGTCTCATGTGCCTCTCTTCCCTCCCGGCAAGCCAGCTCATCCGAGGCATCTAGTTTAGGAAAACAGTCACGAGTAAGTGCAAAGAACTATGTAGCAAGACATCCGCTGGAGCGTACGAATAGTGGAAACCTGAGAACAACTTCAATGTTTAAAAGGCTATATAATTTTGTTACATTACAGTAATTATGATTCAACACTATGCAGTCAGATCCCCCCTCTCGGTATTTAAAAAGACGGGCACGTTTTTCTGGCATCAAGTTAAATAAAAAAAATAAACATATGGTGGGACTCAAACTGTAAATACATTATCTCCTTGCATTGAAAAAGTCCACAAAGAAAGAATCACTAATGCTATTTCCCAGGAACTCTAGGTGGCAGGACTATGGGTATTTTGTTTTCTTCATGTTCCCTATACTTTGGACATTTCTATATTGGAAATTTATTTTATAGCAAGAAAAATAAGTGATTCAAAAAAGCAGCCTGGGAAAGTAGGAAAGAAGGGAGTGGGTAAAACCTGCCCACCACATGCAGGATGACTCTATGCCCCCCAGACACACTCTGGCTGAGCAACGAAATGCGGGATTAACTAGGGAAGGTCACATGTGTCCCGTTAGCTCCATGAAGAGAGTGAACGGTTGCTGCTTTGTTCCTGATGCAGCCCGAGCACCTAGAACGGTGGCTGACATGCGTATCAGGGGCTCAGTACCTGCTGAAGGGAAGAATGCATTCAGGGGCCATGGGGACGGGCTGTGTGTGAGTCCACGCCCCAGAGGGCAGACGGAGAATGAGGGCTCTAAGACCAGAGCGGGTTGGTGGTGGGAGAGGGGGTCCTGGCTCCATGGCTTCTGGTGACCCTTTGTGGCCTTGGCAGGTGTCCTGCCAGATAAAATAGGGACAATCCTCCGATCGTGGACTGAAGATCAGAAGAGGAAATGTCTGAGTCCCTCACACAGTGCCTTAAATAGTCTGTCCGTGCTCAGTATGTGCGAGGGCTCCCATGTTCTGCAGGCACCTCCTCTGGAAAGGTGTGGACTAAGGAACGGAGGGGCTTAGAGAGGCAGGAAGGCCTGGGGAGGGAGGGAGGGGGTGGGTGGGTGGGAGGGGGAGGGCAGTGGTGGACCCAGTAACACAGCAGTCTGGGGACCCAGTCCAGGCAGCCCAGGCAAGAGAGGGGACGAGGCATGGCCAGCTACTTACCTGCAACTTCTCAAAGACTTTCTTCTTGGGCTTGAGCTCTTCATCTGGTTGGCCCTTCTCATAGCCCTTCACGAACACTCGCTCACCGGGAGCAGAGCCTGCAGGAGGGTCCAGAGGCTCAACCTTGCGGTCTACCCCCTCTCTGAGAAGACACACAGGACGAGGAAAGAATGAGGCTGTGGCCTGCCTGCAGCTGCCGTGGAAGCCAAGGCATCAGGACCTTTACGGAGGGGCCCTCAGTGCTGCATCATGTTTCTGGATGTTACCATGGTTGGGTTGACTATGGCTACCCTGAAACCCTCTGTCGGGAGAGATACCAAACTCTGGGCTTTCAGGGGAGGAGTAGGACATAACAGAGACAGCAAGGCCCGAACGGCCAGTGAGAATTAGGTTTGACTCCTGGCTCCATCTCCTACTGGTAGAGAGACTCGGGCATGTGCATACTGCTCGGAGCCTTCAATTTCTGTCTTAATAAAACTACCTTTAGGTAAAGTGCTTCCTTCACAGTACTTGCCCAACAACTAATTCCTTCATGTACCATCTTTTGGACAGTGTCCTTAGGGTTTCCACCCGGCTCGTGGCAGGGCATCCCGTGGGCCGATCCCCCTGCCCCGGCCCCGCCCCCAGTTCTCACTCACGTAGAAGCGCACAGAAGCATGCCTTGGGACTCGACGCCTCTCATCTTCTGGGGTTTCAGATTGCACAGCACCACCACCAGCCGGTCCTGCAGCTCCTCCTTGGGCACAAACTGCACCAGGCCGCTCACCACAGTCCGCGGCTCGGCCTCCCCCACATCAACCTTCTCCACATACAGGCTGTCTGCGTCGGGGTGCTGCCGGCAAGAGAGGTTAGTACCACAAAGCAACGGATCACGGACGGGGCCCGGCGAGCCCTCGGACTGCCGGAGCGGGCATCCTACTCCCCAGCATAGGCTCCTAGGGGGCCCTCTGGAGCAAACTCTTTCCAGGCCCCAGACAGCAGACAGAATGGGCCGGGAGGGTACATTTTACTGTCTGCCAAGAGGCAGGCTGTCAGTAAAAGGCGGGGCAAGGAGTCTCCCCCAGAGGTCAAGAGGCCCGGACGGGTCTGGGTGGCTATCATTATGGCCACGCGCTGCACCAGCCCGGAGGTCGGGGGGAGGGCAGGGCTGGCCTCGTCATGTCGAAGAGCACCAGCAGCTAACCTCAAAGTTGTTTCGTAGTAGGGTCTATGCAGTGAAAAACAATGCCGGGAGAGAAAAAAAAGTCCACAACAATGGTCCCAGGTCACTGGTTACATAACCTTCCGTCTCTGGGAAAAAGGAAGTCCCTCTCGCTTCCCCATTTTCAGGGGTGGGTGGGTAGGATGGGACAGGGCGACACAGTGGCTGATCCGAGATAAGGCCTGTAGCTAAGTCCAGCTGAGCTGGTAGAGACCAGAGGAATCTATGGGACCGGATTTAACTAATGAGCAGGCTCCCTCTGACTAATATCCTCCCCCCACCCTGAGTTCCCGGCTGTCTGGTGGCGTAAGGTTCAGAGGCAGCGAAGGGAAAAGCCTGACACCTGGGATTAGGCACCTGTGTTCTGACTTGCAATATGACCTCAGGGATGTTACTTCCCTTCCCAGGCCAGGTTTCCTCCAGATGGAAACAGACAAACGTGACCCCTATCTGCCTCTCTGGGATGTGGTGAAAAACGAGTACCTTGTCCACACTAATGACTTTGCCCACACGGATATCCAGCCGGGACGGGATGACCTCCTCTGGTTCTGAATTCTTGGCAGGGCCTTTGGCAAATGGCTCTGTGAATGAGAAGAACCCCAGGGGATCAGAACTCTCCTCCTTCGCCATGATAGGTCAACTGCTGACACCACCCACTGGGGACACTAGCAGGGTATCGTGCGGAATCCCCAGAATCTACCCCTTTAGTTATATCTTCTTTTTTCTTTTTAAAGTCATCTCTACGCCTAATATGGGACTCAAACTCATGACCCTGAGCTCAAGAGTTGTAGGCTCTACCGAATGAGCCAGCCACGTGCCCCTAGTTATATCTTCTTTAAAACAGGAGCAGCAACCTTTGAGAAGTGACATGCCAGATTTTCATCTATTCTCTCCCTCAGTTATTAGCTGGTGGGGAGGGAAGGGGGGGGGACAACAGTAGTAGCTTTGCTATGTTTAGCTGTTTCTATTCGTGCTCTCCACATACATTTATTGAGTCGGGGAAGGTCACACAAAACCATCCATATTAATATCTCAGCGTCATGGATAAGTGGATGGCCAACTAAGAGGCAGTCAGAGGCATATGGAAAGGAATTAGGCGAAGCTCAAGACGAGCTTCCCTAAGGAGCTGTGCAGGCTCTGCCTGAGTAGCTGTGTTACCCTCATGGTCTAACCCAACTGCTCTCTTAATTGAAAGATTTAGTCAAGGATCACAGTGCATGTCTCACACCAGTAGGCTGGGGACAACAGGATGTAATCACAGTATCGCCTAAACCTAAATCAAGATGACGCAAGTTCCATTCCAGGAGTTGACGGGGTAGGATATTCTTGCACTTCAGATCCCCTGGCTTCTCGGGCTCTCGATTTAAGACAGAGCCTTTTCTGAAGCCCACCGACAGGCTCTCTGTCCTGACGATGTCATGCAGCCCATGGCCCTGCTCCTCCCTGGCTGGCCTTACTCTGCTTGGAGGGCTCTGGGTAGGCAGCGCTGGTCAATTTCTTCAGTGCAGGAGTATTAAACTTTTCCCGGATAGGATCCAGCAACTTGTTCAGGGCGACCTCAACAGAATTCTTCAGGTCTCCAGGGTGTACAACCTGTGGAAGTGTACAAAGGCCCGGTGAAAGGAGGCACCGGAGTGGGGCACGGCACGTCTGAGTCTACTAAAGATAACGTGTGTGTAAAGTGTAGGCTGTTGATCCTCAGAACAGCCCTGTCAAGCTGACAAAGCCAAGAGGGGGACATTGGTTCAGAAAGATTATTTTTCTTGTCTGAGATTTAGGTCTTTTGACTCTGAATTCCATACTAACTTGAGGGATTTTATCTTATTTACTTATTTATTTGAGAGAGAGAGAGTGCACGCAGGGGTGGGGGGCAGAGGGAGAAGGAGAGAGGGAATCTTAAGCAGGCTCCATGCCCAGCGTGGAGCCCAATGCGGGGCTCCATCTTATGACCCTGAGATCATGACCTGAGCTGCAATAACTTGAGGGATTTTAGAGGCTGAAGTTTTTTTTTGGAGGCTGAATGTTTTTATTAATCAAATTCTTCTAGTCCCTCCATTCATGCTTCAAGTAGTGGCATGAACCAGGGTCCATTTACAGGCAGAGAAACACTCACAGAGGCAACCTGAGGAGACAGCCTGGCGGGGAGCTGAGTGAGCGAGAAGAAAGAGCAAGGGCATTGCAGTTTGACAGACCGGGGTTAGAGTCCCAGCTAGCTGTGTGACCCGGACCAGGCCCTTAACCCCTCTAAGTTTGGGATGCTTTACTTAAGAACTGGAGACAATGCCTATACTTCAGAGTCAGAATGAGGATTCAATCACATAATGTGGGTGAATATGGTGAGCGAGGCTAGTACGTGGCAGGAGCTCAGCAATTCAATTTCTCTTCCTGTGTCCTGTGACTAGTACTTTCACATCCCAAATCTGGCCCCTGCAAGGCTCTGCTAGGTGTTCTGAGGGGTTATCTCTTAGCTGTGAATACCTGTAATACAACAACGCCTCCATTTTTGTTTCTGATATTCTTTCATCTCCTTAGGAATGTTTAATTTTCAATAGTAGAAAAGCTTTAGACCTGCTCTGTCCAGCACGGTAGCCGCTAGCCCCGTGTGGCCACTTAAGTGTAAAGCGCGGTCCGGTTCCTCAGTTGCACGGCGCGCACGGAGGGGCTGACCGCACGCGGCCGGCAGCAGCCGCCGACACGGCCCGTCCGGAACGTGTCCGCAGTCACAGAACGTGCCCTTGCCTAGTGCTGCTCCAGGCTCTAATTCAGACGCGTTTCTTCTATCCTTCTCGTTATTCCAACCTCGGCTGTTCACGGGGCTGAGGAGTGCCGTGTGGGTCCCGTGGCCTGCCTCAGACTGCAGATAGAGGGGTTCAGAGCGACGGCTGCGAAACGTCCAAAAAACGGGCCTTACGGGCCGCAGAGCTCAGAGGTCGTGGAGACTTTTCCGCTATGTGACGTTCAAACCCTCACACCAGGTTGCCTGCAGTGGACTTCTGGCCTCTGCCCGAACACCTCAGCGATGGGGGCGAAAGGGCAAGTGAGGCAGCCCGCCCGCTGCCATCCAACCAAGGTCACTGCGCGGCTCTCCCTGATGTTGAACCTGAACACGCCCCACTGCGGGCCCCACCCGCGCACACCTGGCTTAGCCCTCTGGGGCCACAGGAAGAAATCCAACCCCTCCCCCGCGAGAGTCTGTCAGGTATCTGAGGAGGACTGAACGCAGGCCTGATTCCCAGGCAAACATCCCCAGTTCTTTCAACTGTGCTTCTGTGACATGGGCTTGGGTCTGTTCCTTATCACAGCCCCCTTCCTCTCCCCATCAACACAGCCCAGACTGTCCAATAAACCTCATAAAGTTTGAGTCCAGGGCTGAACGAACAAGCCCAAATGTACTCACAACGGTGGAGAAATGAATGGACTATCGGCTCCCTGGTTCCAGACTCCACATTTCTGATGCCTTACATAGCAAGACTTCATGAACATTCTGACAGCCCAATCACACTGCTGATTTAACCCAAAGTCAGAGTCAATCAAAAGCCCCCATTTCCTTCCCCATACCCACCACTACCACATCTTCACTATGACCTGGCCTGGCCTAGCTCGCCCACAACGCTCCGCCTCACCTTTTAGACTCATGTCAGACCAAACCACTTGCGATTCCATACTGTGCTATTTCATCTGCCCATGTCTGTGCACAATTTATTCCCTCTGTTTGGATGTTGTCCCCTCTGCAAAGCTTTGCCAGCCAGCCAGGTAATGACTTCCTCCTCTTTGATCTCTGGACCGTGTATACATCATCATCATATAGCCACACAGCAATGATACTTGTTTACACGTCCGCCTCTCCTTCCAGACCACGAGCTTCATGAGGACTTAATCCTCTGTAATGCCAGCCCCTACCATGGTGCCTAACTCACAGGCACCTAGTAATTCTTCTCTTAAGCTGTCTGTTGAGATCAGCAGGATCCTCTATGCTGTCCTTTCTGAGGTGTTTCTTTTTTGAACCTTGACTTTGCCCCTCTCCCTGAAATGCTTCATCTTGCTGGGTTTGGTTCTTCATTCCAGGTTAAATCCTTTGCAGGGTGATTAGGACACCAATACTTCAGCTGCCATCTGCTTGCCTAACCCGTGAACCACCTGAACCCTCATTAAGCCATTACCCACAATACATGGCCCTGGAGATCATCAAGCAGAAACTTCTGGCTAGGCCAAGAAGGAGAGGTCTGTCAGAAGGAATTCGGTGGGGATTACTCCTCCTTTGGCATTACCTCATCAGCAAAGTCCTTTTCCAGGTCCAAGTAAGCGGTATAGGTTTTGTTTCCACCCCATTTCTCATCTCGAAGGATCACAAACTCTGTAAGACAAAAGGATCCATGCCAACAAAGTCATTGATAATGGCAGAGTCAGCATTCCTAGCTCAAATGGTACAGATGTTTGTAGTTTCTGTTTTATATTTTATTTATTTATTTTTAAAGATTTTATTTATTTATTTGACAGACAGACACAGCAAGAGAGGGAACACAAGCAGGGGGAGTGGGAGAGGGAGAAGCAGGCTTCCCGCTAAGCAGGGAGCCCGACGCAGGGCTCGATCCCAGGACCCTGGTATCATGACCTGAGCCGAAGGCAGACGCTTAATGACTGAGCCACCCAGCGCCCCTCTGTTATATTTTAAACTTTATTATATGGCATTTATCTTAAATCAGATGAGCTAGAAACCCAGCTGGCATCCACACTCAAGGGGAAGGATCATGCCTTACATTTCTTTCTCATTGCTCTAATTTGGCATGCCTGTGCCCGCCCTCATTTCTACAACACCCACCCACCCTGACACCCCACTTAGAACCCAACCTGGTGACAATCTCATGGGCAACGAAATGACATCCCTAGTGCAAGTGTACCCCGGTATATGAGAAGTCAGAGCACAGAATCAGGGAAGCCCATCTCTAAAGGAAGACTTCTGACCAACCACAAGAATGATCCTAGTACTAGTTTTGCTCCTTCCGCCTGGCCTCTGAGAAGCAATCGAATATCTTACCGGACTTGAGGGGAAAGAGGACATGCTTGATGAAAGACAGAACTCCATTGTTCTCCACATTCCCTGGCTCACAGAAGGCCTTTTTTAGTTTTTTCTTCACGTCCTCCTTCCGGTCAAGGAGATCAATCTTGGACTCCTATAAGCCATGGAGGAGAAGGGACCTCTTATGGTGGGAAATGAGATATGCTCAACTAATCTGTGTATTTTAATTTTTTTTTTAACAGAGGTTTAAACATTAACAAATTTAACAAAAGCAGAATTAATCAGAGTCAAGAACCACTCACAATATTGCCACCTGACAAAAACCACAATTTCAATTTTCCTGTGTTCTTCCCAGGCCTATAACACACAGAATCGTTACAAACTTGTAGAGTTTGAGAACAAATGTCTACCCTTTGCTTTTTCACTTGAGACTATATCGTAAGTATTTCTGAGGGGCTATCTAGTCTTTGCCTCTAATTTGTATGCTGTATCACATTCCCAATTATTAGTGACAACATAATTTCTGAACTGTTAGATTGTTCTAATTTTTACAAATTATATACGATATTACAATGAATATCTTTGCAGAGGTTTTTATTGTTTTTGTTTCTGCCTTCTCTAGGATTATTTGCCTAAGCTACCCAAAACTGCCAGGCCCAAAACTATTTTCTGAAAAGGGCATACTCATTGTCACTGCCCAGAACAGTGTTGTGAGCGGCTTGCTACGTGGCAACCCCCCCAGATCAGGTACCGCCTAGTATCTAGAGCCATTTTCCCTTTTTAGGTAATAGGAACTGTTTCTTATTTTGGAGTGAGTAAGCTCATGGTTCTTTGGGTTCAGTGGTTACCAAATTCTGGTCTGTGTATGCCTATGTATGAATCATCTGGGGTGCCTTTAAAAAATGTAAATTACCAGGAGATGAATCAAAATCTCTTGAGGTTGGGCCAGGTATTTGCATTTTTAAAAAGCTCTCTGAGTGATTCTGATGCAGTCATGTTCAGAAATGGCTGCTAACACTGATTTCCAGGGCTAAGATACGGTGAAGTCACTAAATAGGGTGAGTGATATGATATTCTGTCAGAGAAATAACTGATACCTGGAGCATTTTAACACAGAGAAAAACAAATATTTTATATATTCCTTTAAAAATAATAACAGTTTCCATGTGTATATTTACTGGTCTCTGATCAAAGACTGAAAAGTCAGATTTAAAGAACTAGATGAACACCCAAATGTGACTTCAATCAGAATCACCTAGTGGAATTTGAAAGAAAATACAGATTCCTCACAGACCTATACCCCTGAAACAAACAATACATTATATGTTAATAAAAAAAAAAAAAGAAAGAAAGAAAATACAGATTCCTGATGTTGCCAGAACCACTTTATCAGAATCTCTAAGAACAGAGTCGAATCAATGCTTTTTTTTTTCCTCTCTTTTTTTAATTCCCTAGGTGGTTCTGAAGCTCAGCTGTGTTTGGGAACCCAGAACTCAACCTTTCACATCTTTGGGTCCCACTACATCCTCCATTCTGTACCCTTAGTGATCAAAAGTGCACTTTTCCTAAGCAGGATTTTTAACTGTTAAAAGATACTGTATTTATCACATTAGTTATATCAAACATCACCCTGAGAATCAAGATGCTATATGGTGAAATGCAACCCTAGCCTCATTAACCTCATGAACAAGGCTGAATCTTACCACAGTTCTATGAATGAAGAAATTACTTTTGCTAGTGTGTTTTATCAGCCACAGTAAAATTGTTAAGATTATGACTGGATCCCATCAGGACTGCTTCTGGGTCCTTTAATACTCAAGAACCACTGAAATTAATTGGATGACTTCAGAGTCCTTGGAACTCAAATCTACAAGAATTCTAGTTAGCGAGGGGATTCTTCTTTTGAGTCCTCAATCCCTTCATTTCTTGCTGAAGATTTCTAAACTCAAGTCAGAGCTGGAAAACGTACCTCTTCTGAGGAGCTCATTTTACTGCCAGTTAATCCTGGTACCATAGGATTCATCAGATGGACCCGTTTTGAGTAGCCAAGTGCAGGGAGGTACTGAGGGGTTAGAAAGAAACACACAAAGCACGTGTTAGTATAAACTGCTCCTCAGTGCCCCAATCTCATCTAACTTGGCCAGCAACGTAACAGTTTGATATAGTTCTTCCAATCTCTTTTACTGAATATACAACCTTTCTTTCTTTCTTTTTTTGAAGTTTTTATTTAAACTTTAGTTAACATACACTGTAATATTAGTTGCAGGTGTAGAATTTAGTGATTCTACACTTCCATACATCACCCGGTGCTCATGACAACAAGCACACTCCTTAATCCCCATCCCCTACTTCCCCTGTGCCCCACCCACCTCCCCTGGGGTAACCATCAGTTTGTTCTTTACAGTTAAGAGTCTGTTTCTTGGTTTGCCTCTCTCTCTTTTTTTCCCCCTTTGTTCATTTGTTTTGTTTCTTAGATTCCACATGAGTGAAATCATATGGTATTTGTCTTTCTCTGACTGACTTCTTTCTTTCTTTCTTTTTTTTTTTTAAAGATTTTATTTATTTGACAGAGAGAGAGAGCACATGCAGGGGGAGTGGCAGGCAGAAGGAGAGGGAGAAGCAGGCTCCCATACCATACCATATGATTTCATTCATATGTGGAATTTAAGAAACAAAACAAACTAGCAAAGGGGAAAAAAAAGGAAAGAGAGAAAACCAAGAAACAGGACTCAACTACAGAGAATAAACTGATGGTTACCAGAGGGGAGGAGGGTGAGGGGATGGGGGAAATAGGGGGTAAGGATTAAGGAGTGCACTTGCGTAATGAGCACTGAGAAATGTACAGAACTGGTGAACCAGTATATTGCACACCTGAAACTAATAGAACACTGTATGTTAACTATACTGGAAATAAAATTAGAAACTTAATAAAAAATACATCCAAAAAATTTATTTAATAAATTTTAAATAAATTTAAAGTATTTAAAGAATACTATATAATATTCCATTGTAAGGAGTTATCGTAACACATATCATAACATAATAATCCCTTGCCATTGGATGTGAGTTTATTTCTAGATTTTTTTTTAGAGATTTTATTTTTAAGTAATCTCTATACCCAATGTGGGGCTTGAACACACAACCCTGAGATCAAGAGTCGCATGCTCTACCGACTGAACTAGTGAGGCGTCCCTGTATCTAGATTTTACCTTTAAATGGATAATGTGATAAATACTTTCATATGTAACTGGAGTTGCACTTTTAAAATTATTTCCTTAGCACCAATTTGTATAATTATCAGGGAAAACTACCCTCCCGGAAATTTACATTTCCACTAAGTGTTTTCTCCATACCCTTGCCAAGATGAGGTTTTGAGAAACTTTCAAAAATAACAACCATTTCTCAATGGCCCTTTCCAACTTACTCAAGTTCTTTCCCCAAAAAGAACTATTAAGGGTTTGCTCTGATTTCCTCCTTTAAGCCCTGTTAAGCCTCATCTCAGGGATAAGTGGTTTATGTAAGATCCAGAGCAATATGGACTGAATGCTCTGGGAAAGACCAGTAGTTGACTGGTGGTCCCTTTCCCTAGAAACTGTGTTATTAGGAAAGAAGCAAATCCAACAGGTCTGGGGGCAGCTTTCTGGCTTTTGAGTCAGGTCTGAGGCTAACTGCTGCTTAGTCACTAACTGTGTGATAATAGACAACTTTCTTTCTCGACAGTCAGTTTTCTCGTCTGCAAAACAGGGAGAACAATACCCAGCCATACAATATAGTTATGAGTGGTGGGACCGGCATAGTCAATAAACCTTAATTGTATACCTAAGGCACAAAAGAAAAAAAGATAGGAAAGAGAACACTGACCTTCTCTGCAAAGGTAAAAATCTTTCTCTGATCAACACCTCCAAACTGGGCATCTACTTTCAAATACTCTTCATCCAAGGCCTGTGTGGAAAACAAAAACAAAAACAAAAAAAACCACATGAGCATAAACTCCTACTGTATTTCTTCTCTATGGATCTGGGAAATCAGAAACTTTTGAAAACCACTACATTTTTTTCAGAAAGTAGAGCCAGGAAGCAAATAAAGCAGCATCCAGCCTCCCTCTTGGCCTCAAGAACAGCATAAACATTAGCTGAGTGCCTGTGGTGGACAGAATTCCATGTGGATGTCTTGGGGGAAAAAGTAAGAGCCTCTGCCTTTGGGAAGCTCACAGTCCATGGGGAAGGGAGGGAAGAAGGAGCAGACACACCAGAGTTGGGTCAAAGGTACCCACTGAATAACGCAGCCTGTGACAAATGTCAAATAATGGCATAAGAGGGGCGCCTGGGTGGCTCAGTCAGTTAAGTGTCTGCCTTCCGCTCAGGTCATGATCCCAGGGTCCTGGGATGGAGCCCCACATTGGGCTCCCTGCTCAGCAGGGAGTTTGCTTATCCCTCTCTTGCACTCTCTCCCTCTGTCAAATAAATAAATAAAATCTTAAAAAAAAAAAAAAAGGCGTAAGAAGAACGTGCTGTGAGAGCTCAGAAACAAAAGACAAGACTAAGCTGATTTTGTCACTTACTACCTGCCAGGCCTAGTACCAGCCCTGAGGATGCAGAGTTGAATTGGACCCAGACTCGGCCTATAAGAAGCCAATTACCCAGCTTTGAGAAGAGAGACATGTAAACAGCTAATTTCAGTGCAGTGTTTGAAGGGCTACCTGAGATGTTCATTTAAGGAACAAAGAAAGAAATGCTTCTCTCTAGCTGGTCAGACAGGTGGCACTGAAGGCTTCCTGGAATCAGACTGTGGGCTGACCCTGGTTTTGAAGAATATATAGATGTTTTTCACCATGAAGAGGAAACAGATGTCAGATGGCAAAGAGGTGTGAAATGTTTAGAGAAATTAGTGATTCAGTATGCAAAAGCACAAACTTCAACGGATGTAGGAAGTGGTTAGTGATGGCATCAGAGAAGTAAGGATCCTGACCATCACGCTAGGGTGCCTAGCATCGTCCTGGCCCACACTGTAGAAAGATCACACCAGTAAGAGGGCAGGGCACGGAGTAGAGCCCTTTGGACTGGAGACAAAGAAGACAGCGAGGAGGCTGCGTGAGAGGCCAGGTAGGAAACAATGCCGAACCAGGTCAGCAGGGATGTAGAACAAGAACACATTTAAGAGATTTTAAAAGTAGAATTGGTATGATTTCACGTCTAATTGAATGGAGGAAAGAGGAAGAAGGAGGGGAAGAGAAAGGTGAGCAAGCTGGAATAATCTAGAAGAGCACTGTCCACTATAATATTCTGGAATGATGAATATGTTCTATGTCTGTGCTGTTCAGTAGATTAGCCACTAGCTACATGTGGCTTGTGAGCACTTGAAATATAGCCAATGTGACTGAAACCTAAGAATTTTAATTTTAATTATTTTTAATAGCCACACATGACCACGACTAGAGGAGAGGCTACCACAGGGGGCAGGGCAGATCTAGAACATGTCCAGGCTTAACCCGTAGAAAGCTCTTTTGGAGGTGATGAGGTTAGGCTTGATATTCTTCTACCAAACATCTTTTTTTAAGATTTTATTTATTTATTTATTTATTTGAGAGCAAGGAAGAGAGTGCATGCGAACGGGAGGAGGAGCAAAGGTACCCCTCATATCAAACGTTACAGACATACATGAAGAGGGGCGCCTGGGTGGCTCAGTCAGTTAGGTGTCTGATTCTTGCTTTCAGCTCAGGTCATGATCTCGGGGTTGTGAGATGGAGCCCTCGTTGGGCTCCAAGCTCAGTGTGGAGTCTGCTTGAGGATTCTCTCTCCCTCTCCCTACCCTCCCACTTGCATGTGTGCTTGCTTTCTCTCAAATACATAAATAAATAAATAAAAATCTAAAAATATAGGGCGCCTGGGTGGCTCAGTCGTTAAGCGTCTGCCTTCGGCTCAGGTCATGATCCCAGGGTCCTGGGATCGAGTCCCGCATCGGGCTCCCTGCTCGGCAGGAAGCCTGCTTCCCCCTCTCCCACTCCCCCTGCTTGTGTTCCTGCTCTCACTATCTCTCTCTCTGTCAAATAAATAAATAAAATCTTTAAAAAAAAAAAAATCTAAAAATATATACATACAAAGAAAAAGTTAAGTCTATACCATTTTTGTCCTATCTTTCTGAGCTAGTTACCAATATTAACAAGTCGGTTTGAATTTTTCTCTTTCTCCTTGCTCATATAAATGCACACACATGAAATATGATGTGCTTCATTTAACAGAAAATAGGATCATGCCTAAAATTTATTTATTTTATTTTGTTTTGTTTTGTAAAGATTTATTTATGGGGCGCCTGGGTGGCTCAGTCGTTGTCTGCCTTCGGCTTAGGTCATGGTCCCAGGTCTTGGGATGGAGCCCTACATCGGGCTCCCTGCTTGGCTTCTCCCTCTCCCACTCCCCCTGCTTGTGTTCCCTCTCTCGCTGTGTCTCTCTCTGTCAAATAAATAAATAAAATCTTAAAAAAAAAAAGATTTATTTATTTTATGGGCTGCCTGGGTGGCTCAGTCAGTTAAGTGTGGGCCTCTGGCTCAGGTCATGATCCTAGGGTCCTGGGGAGCCTGCTTCTCCCTCTCCCTCTGCCTGAGGCTTCCCCTGATTGTGCTCTCTCACTCTCTCTGTCAAATAAATAGAATCCTAAAAAATAAATAAAGATTTTAGAGAGAGATGGCATGTGGTGGGGGGAGAGGGAGAGAGAGAATCTCAAGCAGACTCCCCACTGAGCGTGGAGCCTGAGGCAAGGCTTTATCTCACAATCCTGAAATCATGACCTGAATGGAAATCAAGAGCTGGCTGCTTAACTGACTGAACCACCCAGGTGCCCCGCCTAAAATTTATTTTTACACATCACTCTGAAATTTTCTTCACTTAAGAGATCATAATCAACATAAAGAGGATATGTGACACTGCAAAGCATTCTCTGAGAGGACTGGCCTCCGTGTGTTTGGCATATTCTGCAGACATGAAAAAACAAACCCATTTACTATGTATGTGTAAAAAGCCTAGTCATCAGGCCATTTTCAGCCAATAGTCACACCCACTGTACCTTTGCATAGAAGACTTACAATGTGGTTTGTCAGTATGATCTATAAATAACTGGTGTGAATTTCCATGTATACCTGTGTAAATAGATTTGTTAACTGAAATGTACTTTATAAGAAAACATATAAAAATTACCAATCCAGGAAAATAACTCTGTAAATTCCCCAAGCATTTAAAATAAAAAAGTATTCTTTAAGATCTTTCATGTAAAGTTCACCTAAATAAGTAAAACACAGAGATTCTCTAAGAAAGAGAAATAATGGAATAAATAGACAAAACCTCCTATCCTCCCCTCAATGATAAATGATACAATAAAGATGAAAAAAATGCATTTCCCTATTAAAAAAAAAAATATATATATATATGAAATCTGGGGGCACCTGGCTGGCTCAGTCAGTGGAGGGTGAGACTCCTAATCTCAGGGTTGTGAGTTTAAACCCCACACTGGGCATAGAGCTTACTTAAAGATTTTATTTATTTATTTGACAGAGAGAGACACAGCGAGAGAGGGAACACAAGCAGGGGGAGTGGGAAAGAGAGAGAAGCAGGCTTCCCGCGGAGCAGGGAGCCCGATGCGGGGCTCGATCCCAGGACCCTGGGATCATGACCTGAGCCGAAGGCAGACGCTTAACGACTGAGCCACCCAGGTGCCCCTAGAGCTTACTTAAAAAAAGAAAAAAATATACGATCTGCAAATAAACTAATGTTTATCTGCAAATAAACTAATGTAAATTAAAAAAAAAGATGTGTGAGATGAGCAGTGTTTTAAAGTGCAGACAGATAGGGGAGGACCTACAGCTGAAGAAGTCAAAGGGAAGGGGAGAGAGACAGGAAGGAAGGCCTACAGCACAGTGAAGGAACAGCAAGTACCTGGGCTTCACTGGGGCTGAGTGACCAGTAGCTAGAACCAGAGCAGAAAAGGTCCTTGGGCAACTCCATCCCTCCCAGTACCTGTAATCCGGGGTACAGCAGACCACTCAGCAAAGGGTGCTCCACCTGCTTTACCACCTCAGCCCCAGCTTTCTTGGCATCGTGCTGTGTGACCACGGAGGAGAGTCTGTACACATCTAGTGTGTACTCTCTGAAGAGGAAAGGAAGTGGGGACAGCTGTGAGACTGGGCCAAGGCCTCACTCTGATCCTAAAGCACATTAATTCACTCTCCCAATCTTAAGACATTCCAAAAGACCTCTGCTGCCTGGTAGCTTCTAAAATGTGACTGGTTCTTTGTCTTATACAAAATACCACTTGCTTTTTATGTCTTTCCTTTTTTTTTTTTTAAGATTTTATTTATTTATTTGAGAGAGAGCGAGAGCATGAGCGGGGATGAGAGGGGAAGAGGGTGAAGCAGGCTGAGAGCCCCGCTGAGCAGAGAGCCCAACTTGGGGCTTGATCCTAGGACCCCAGGATCATGACCTGAGCCCAAGGCAGATGCTTAACCAGCCACCCAGGCGCCCCAAAATAAAATCTTAAAAAGAAAAAATAAAATTTTGACAGAAAACAGTTTGCAACCTAAAAACCTATGCCCACCTGAACTACCATTCAAGTGTAAGAGTAAAATATCTGAATATCTTTATCTAAAAAAAGTTATTTTCATGTTTTTATTGGTCATTTATGTATCCTCATCTGTGAAGTATCTATGCAAGTAGCCCATTTTTCTACTTTCTTTTTCTTTTTTGGGGGTTCCTTAGTATTCTGGATAGCAAATCCTTTGTCATTTATATAGCAGGGGGATAGAGAATTAACCACTGATACAGAACAGAGAATTCAGAAACAGATCCTCATAACTATGGAAACTTAATTTATGACAGAGCCAGCATTGCAGATCAGCAGAGAAGGGATAAACTTTTTAAGAAAAAGTGGTACAAAGACAATTAGTTATCCATATGGGGAAAAAATGATCCCTCCATTCCAACTAGATTAAAGATTTAACTGTAAAGGCCAAACTATAAAACATTGAAAAGACCGTACACATATACGACTATCAACCAATCTCAGGGCAATGAAAATTCAATAAAACACACCAAAAGCACAAATCACAAGAAAAGATTGATGAATTCAAGTTAAAATTAAGACCTTCGGTACATCAAAAGTAAAATCAAGTAAAAAGACAAGCCACCAACTGGGAGAAAATACTGAAAACACATAACTGGCAAGGATTAATATCCTATATTCTTTGTCAGAAACTACAGAGTCAAGGGGTACCTGGGTGGCTCAGTCGTTAAGCATCTGCCTTCGGCTCAGGTCATGGTCCCAGGGTCCTGGGATCGAGCCCCGCATCGGGCTCCCTGCTTGGCGGGAAACCAGCTTCTCCCTCTCCCACTCCCCCTGCTTGTGTTCCCTCTCTCACTGTGTCTCTCTCTGTCAAATAAATAAATAAAATCTTAAAAATAAATAAATAAATAAAGATTTTATTTTTAGGTAATCTCTACACCCAACATGGGGCTTGAACCTACAACCTCAAGATCAGTAGGCCAAGCCAGCCAGGTGCCCCTCCTCCAAAAGTTTAAAGGCTTTGCTTCATCACCCTCTGTGTTCTTTTGAGAAATGCAAAGCTATTGTGATTCCTGAAATTTTTATGTGACTTCTTTTGTCCCTTTGGAAGTTTGTAGTATATTTCCCCCCTTTTTTTCTGTCCTTAGTGTTGTGAAATTTCAAGATAGTGCACTGTAGCATGGGTTTATTCTCATCCAGCGTGCCAGGCACTTGATGGGCCCTTTCACTCTGGACACTCATTTACCTGTTCTATAAATTATTTCATTGATGATTTCCTTCCCTCTGACTCTTTGTTCCCTTTTCCATAACACTTATTATTCAAATATTGGACCTCCTGGCCTAGTACTCCAATTTTCTTAGCTTTTTCTTTTTTTTTCCCCACTGTGCTCTGTGAGGCCACTGAAACCAAAGTTCAATCCCATATAGTTCAACGAGGTCTCTTGAGGCACTAGTAGTCTTAGTGTTCTACGAATTGTATTTTACAGATTACAAAATGCATCTTTTTGCATTTAAAAAAATATTTAATATCTTCAAAATCTAGGTAAGTCTTTTAAACACTGGCACGTTAGAGACTAATCAGCCATATTTTTAATGACATCTTAGATTAGTTGAAATACAGTATCTTGTTTTTTTTTTTTAAGATTTTATCTTTAAGTAACCTCTACACCCAACGTGGGGCTTGAACTTACAACCCTGAGATCGAAAGGGGCATGTTCTATTGAGTGAGCCAGCCAGGCACCCCTGAAATAAAATATCTTCATATTCCTACTTTCGTTTGATTTCTGGCCACTGAGTATTCTTTTTTTTTTTTTTTTTAAGATTTTATTTATTTATTTGAGAGAGAGAGAATGAGAGACAAAGAGCAGGAGAGGGGGAGGGTCAGAGGGAGAAGCAGACTCCCTGCCGAGCAGGGAGCCCGATGCGGGACTCGATCCCGGGACTCCAGGATCATGACCTGAGCCGAAGGCAGTAGCTTAACCAACTGAGCCACCCAGGCGCCCTGGCCACTGAGTATTCTTGACTAATTTGTCAATTGACTGATCTGAAGCATTCAGGATGTTTAAAAAATATTTTACCCCGCATTTTTAGTTGTTTTCAGTAGTAAGGCTGGTCAGAGTACCCAGTGTGCCAGACTGCTGGAAGCAAACGTCCTCATCCACATCTCAAACACTTACAGTTTTTCTGTCCATCTCTCTGGGCTGCATTCTGGGTGAATCTCAGTACTATCTCACAAATCTCTAGTTTTCTCTTCAACTTTGTTCAGTCTAGAGTTGAAGCCTTCTATTGAAGGCTGGTTTGTGGAGTTTTTTGGGTTTTGTTTTAAAGTTTATTTATTTATAATCTCTATACCCAACGTGGGGCTTGAACTCACAACCCTGAAATTAAGAGTCGTGAACTCTTCCAACTGAGCCAGCCTGGTGCCCCTGTGGGGTTTTGTGGTTTGATTTGGTTTGGTTTGGTTTAGCTTTAATGACTGATTTTTACATTTTCAAGATTTCTAAATGATTCTTTTTATTTCTGTATATATGTTTCATCCCTGCCTCTCTCTGTTTAATCACTTCCTTTCTAAAAATGGATGCTACTCCTTGGCATGTTAGAACTTATGTCTTTGAGGTAATATCATGGATATAACACTCATAAATGGTGGTCAGCTTGGTTTAATTCTTGGTATGCATACAGTCGAGTCTCCATAGGCCTGAAGCTTGACAAAAGTCCCTAAAGACCCAGGCAGGTGACTAATAGTGCCCCTACTCCTTGGCTCTACTTTCCTTGAGGGGTAGGGATGGGAATGGGAAAAGGGTAAAAGCCCTGCTTTATACTCTGGCTTTAAGCAGTAAGCCTGGTTTGTCCCCACTGTCCGCTTCTTGACTAGAACCCAGCAAACCTGTAACTTCAGACCAACTCACCAATTTGCATTTCAATTCTGTTTTCTTACCACAGAGATGTTTAGCATGTCTTTGAATCTGGCTATGTCCTCTGGTTTTTTAATGTTTTTGTCTATCATTGCTGTTGTCGGGAACAGAGAAGAGTGCATGAAAGCATATACTTAAAAAGCCTTCTTCCTTTGAAGTCACTTTTGCGTATACAAAAAGATCAAGTGACTTTGAAGCAAGGTAGCTTTATTTATGTATCCTATCTGCCCAAACCCCAAATTCTGTTCAATTCTGGGAGAAAAAAAGCCTTCCCTGAGTCATTCACTATTATAATCCTAGGACCTAGAACAGAGTCTGACATATAGTAAGAACTCAGTCATTGTTTGCATGACTCACTCCCTCACCTTCTTCAGGTCTCAGTTTAATGTCTTCTTATTATAGAGGTCTTTTTTAGCCACCCTACTTAAATAGAAACCCCCCAATCCCCAGGAACTTTCTCTCCTGCCTGCCTGCTATGTAGCACCTATCACCATCTGACACAGTTTGTATACATTACTTTTTCATTTGTTTCCTTTGACTGTATTTCCTTGCTGAAACGTAAGCCCCATTAGGATGGGGATTTTTGTTTTAGTATATTTTTGTATACTCAGGACCCAGAACAGTGCTTGCCATCTAATAAGTGCTCCATAAATATCTGTAGAACAAACGTAAAAATAAATGAAATTGTAGGGACTCTACTGAGGCCGAGGATTCAAACATCTGTTTACATATAAGAAAGTTATGTGCCTTGGGGCGCTGGGGTGGCTCAGTTGGTTAAGCGACTGCCTTCGGCTCAGGTCATGATCCTGGAGTCCCTGGATCGAGTCCTGCATCGGGCTCCCTGCTTGGCAGGGAGCCTGCTTCTGCCTCTGACCCTCCCCCCTCTCATGTGCTCCCTCTCTCATTCTCTCTGTCTCAAATAAATAAAAATTAAAAAAAAATCTTTAAAAAAAAAAAAAGAAAGTTATGTGCCTTATTTCAATCTTTTTTTTTTTAGATTTTTATTTATTTATTCATGAGAGACAGAGAGAGAGAGAGAGAAGCAGGCTCCCAAGGAGCAGGGAGCCCGATGCGGGACTCAATCCCAGGACCCTGGGATCATGACCTGAGCCGAAGGCAGACGCTTAACCATCTGAGCCACCCAGGCGCTATGTGCCTTATTTCAAACTCTAAATGTCCAACAGTGAGGAATGCTAAAGAAAATTACAATTGGGGTGCCTGGGTGGCTCAGTCAGTTAAGTGTCCAACTCTTGGTATTGGCTCAGGTCATGATCTCGGGGTCATGGGATCGATCCCGTGTCAGGCTCTGCTCTCAACACAGTCTGCTTGGTCCTCCCTCTCCCTTTGCTCCTCCCCCAACTCGTGCGCTCTTTCTCTCAAATAAATAAAATCTTTAAAAGAAAAAAAAAATATGATCAATGAAGTAAAAAGAGAAATGAACTTGTAAGCAAGAGATCTGGGTTCACATCCTAGCTCTTCTACTTACAGCAAGTATGAACTTGAGACAGTTACAGTTGAATCTGTTTCCTTATCTGTGAAATAGGACACACCAATGCTTACCTTAAAAAGCTGTTCTAAGGGTTTAAATGCAAAAGTGACCAGTGGAGTGATACATGGCTTAACTGAGGTTTTAAAAATAAAAAAATGTGGGGACTATGAGGCAGCATGGAGGAATTACTTAGGAAATTACTCAAGTTAAAAAAACTAGGACACAAAATCGTATCTATGCTAATATTAAAAATATGAATAAAATCGATAAAGATATAAAGCAATAAAAATTGTTGGGGAGGGTTGCCTGGGTGGCTCAGTCTGTTGGGCGTCTGCCTTTGGTTCGGGTCACGATCCCAGGGTCCTGGGATAGAGGCCCACATCAGGCTCCTTGCTCAGCAGGAAGCCTGCTTCTCCCTCTCCCACTCCCCCTGCTGTGTTCCCTCTCTCGCTGTCTCTCTCTGTCAAATAAATAAATAAAATCTTCAAAAAAAAATTGTTGGAGAGATGAGAAACAAGTGAAATATTTTTCTTTCACCTTTCTTTAATCATTATTTGCTGAGGCTGGAAGGAAAAACGGAAGCTGAATTGTTGATCATCATTCTCCCATATGCTGTGAGCTCTGCAACGCCAAGGACTTTGTTTTGGTTACATTCACATCTCCAGCAAAATGGGAAGTACATAGGCATTAAGTACATTTTTGATGGATGACTTAAAAGGACAAAGAGTATAGGGCGCCTGGGTGGCTCAGTTGGTTAAGCGACTGCCTTCGGCTCAGGTCATGATCCTGGAGTCCCGGGATCGAGTCCCACATCGGGCTCCCTGCTCAGCGGGGGGTCTGCTTCTCCCTCTGACCCTCCCCCCTCTCATGCTCTCTCTATCTCATTCTCTCTCTCAAATAAATAAATAAAACATTAAAAAAAAAAAAAAGGACAAAGAGTATAAATTTTTTAATGGCTTCTAATCCAAATTTAAAGAGTGCCTGGACTCAGACCTGTAATTAGGTAGAAGCATGAGAGCCACAAGGAGGGTGGATAATCTAGAACTTACTTGCTAAGCTGGTAATCAGTGCCTTTGACAAACTTGAGCTTTTCCAAGGGTACACCAATGCTCTCCAGCATTGCCTTGATCACATTCTCATAGTAGCTGGTTCGGAGTTCTAGAAGTTCCCATGGAGCTTTCATGTTATCCAGATATGCGTGAAGGTCCGCAAACAGAATCGTTACCTGGACATGAGAGATAAGGGACCAACAAAATTGAATTTTGTCCAAGTACCTCCAAATCCACCTCTCTGCCCTGCCCTTGTTAAATCTCTCTTTTGGCCACTCCCCAAGGAACTGCTTGGTTTACAAAACATTACTTCTTACCTCACATCCTGCTTTCAGGAAGTCCGCAATCTTAGACATAGGCACGAAGTAAGCCACATGTGGCTTGCCTGTGGTTGCTGTTCCCCAGTAAACTTTAAGTTCCCGCTCCTTGAGTATCTCCTTCAGCTTCTCTTCCCCCAGAACCTCCTGTTGTGGAAGCAGAAGAGCTGGTTTAATGCTGGTGCCCCACCTTGCTCATCCTTTACCCTGTGACAAGGAAAACAAAAGCACGTATCACTGGGGGTCTAAGCCCAGAGCGAGCAGGGAGGTCCAACCATACTCTCAGGGCTCAGTGAGAACCAACCTTAGTTGGTGCTGTTGCTAGTACCACTCCAGTGAAATGCCACTGATGTTAGGGAATGGGACATGTCCCTACTTGCATCCTCCCCTCCATCTACTCTAACTCATGTTCCTTCCTTTCAGAACCAACTTCTTGAAATAGTTGTCTCTTCTTCTGGTATTTATTCCTCATCTCCCATTCCAGTTTAATTCCATACAGCATCACCCCACTAAAAATGCTCTGGCTAAGATCACGGATGACTCCCATTGTTGCTAAATTCAATGAAAAAAAAATTTTTTTTTAAGATTTTATTTATTTATTTGACAGAGAGAGACACAGCGAGAGAGGGAACACAAGCAGGGGGAGTGGGAGAGGGAGAAGCAGGCTTCCCAAGGAGCAGGGAGCCCGATGCGGGGCTCAATCCCAGGACTCTGGGATCATGACCTGAGCTGAAGGCAGACGCTTAACGACTGAGCCACCCAGGCGCCCCTCAATGAAAATTTTTTTAGTCCTCACTCCATCCCTGAAACACTCCCCTCTTTTGGTCTTCCACTTTTCTATTCTCTTAGTTTTCCTCCTACTTCTCTGGCTGTTGGCTCAGATTTCTTTGCAGCTGTTCTTCTTGCTAATCATTAAATATTAGCAATCCTTACAGCCCTATCTCTTCTCTTCTTACTCTACATTTTCCCTAGCTGATCCCTTTTAAGATGCTTCAATTACTACTTATGAGCTAGTAACTATCAAATCTCCTGCTCACATCCATATATGGGACAGTGTACTTGTTATCAACCCAGTTAATTCAAACTCAACATGTTCAAAATTAACCTCGTGCTCTCACCTTCCCGCCTCGCTCCCCATCCATCTTTTTCACTTATAGTTTCACCCCAGTGCAGTAAATGGTACTATCATTCATCAAGTTGCCTAAGTTACCCCAAAGCTCCTAAATCCTCCTCCTTCTCTCTGCCTCCATACCACCATCCTAGTCTAGGCCAATAGGCCACATCAGATCACACCAGGACTACTGTAATAGCCTTCTAACAGGACTCCTGTATCTATTCTTGCTCCCCCTAGTCCATGTTCCAGAAGGCAGCCAGAGAAATCTCTAAAACGCAAAACTTGATTAACTCATTCACCTATTTACTATTTAATGGTTTCCTTTTGCCTGAAGACAATATTACAAAAATCCTAATAGGTCAGTATGCTGCTAATAAAAGAGATTTTAGTGATTCTTCCAAGTGATGGTTGGGGAGGCAGTTAGAAGCCATGAAAGACAAAAACTGTTTTGCTGGTTTTACTCATCTATCAGCAGGACTTACTAAAATCCTGTTTTAAGGTCACTGGCGGCTGGATCCTGCACCCTCCAAGCCTGACTATTTGGAACTTGGGAGAGTTCTTGCCACCCAAAGAAAGGTCATATCACTTACCCTTTAAAACCTGAGTGAGTCAATGCCATTAGCTTTGTGTATCCTTTGTCTCCACCCAGCATTATTTTGTGGAAAGAGACTAGGACAAAGAATCTGGCTAAGAGGAAGCATGCAAAAATTACTGGTTAAGATGAAGTTATGAATGGAAAGAACCCAAGTGTCCACCAACTGATGAATGGAGAAACAAAATGTGATATATCCATATAATCATGAATATTTTTCAGCCATAATAAGGAATAAAGTTCTGATGGGTATGACAACATGGATGAACCTTGAAAACACGCTAAGTGAACGAAATGAGACATAAAAAGCCACATATCGCATGATTCCATTCATATGAAATGTCCAGAATAGGCAAATTAAAGACAGCAAGAAGATCAGTGTTTCCCTAGAGCTGCCAGGAGGGGGGAAATGGGCAGTGACTGCCAATGGGTACAGGTTTTATTTTGGTGATGAAAATGTTCTGGAATGAGATAGTGGTGCTAATTATACAATCTTGTGACTATACTAAAACCCACCGGAATGTACACTTTAAAAGGATGGACTTTTTGGTATGTGAATTGTATCTCAAAAAAAGATCAAAAAAAAAAAAAAAAACAACCAAGCTGTGGCCCAACCAATGTTATCACTGCTCTTAGAATAAACTTTGCTTTTAAACACAACATGCAAGGCCCTCATGACCTGGTCCCTGCCTATCCCTTCTCAACAAACAAGTAAAATACATAGTATGTCAGATGGTGGTAAGTTCTATGGAGAAACAACAATGAAAAAAGGCTAGAACAAGGGATGAGACAATTCTGGTGAGAGGGGGTTTGTTATTTAAATAAAGTAGTCAGGAAAGGCCTTCCCGATAATGTGACAATAGGCCTGAAGGAGGCAAGGAAATGAGCAATATATATTTATTGTTTGATCTGCACTTTGTTCACTCTACTCCAGCCAAATCAGCCTTCTCTCTGAACCAGTGTTCTTTCTCCCCTCTGGGTCTGGACCTGGCTTCCTTCTACCTAAAATGCCCCCCAACCCATTCTTCTTGTGATTAACTTCTACTCCTGCAGTTCCTGGAAACAGCAGGAACAGATGTGGAGTGAAGTGATTTGCATCATCAAGGCGCAGTTTAGAGGTCACTTCCTCAGCCTTCCCTGACACTCCCCCAGCTCTCTCCCCTAAATTCCTTCCAAAGCTCCACGGATAGTACTTTACAGTACTTGTTTCAAACTGTAACTAAGTTTTTGAATTATGGGTCATTCTTAACGTCTGATTCCCTCCAGACAAGCCCTGTGACGGCAGGGCCCTGACGTATCCCCAGTGCCTCGCACCGCGCCTAGCACATAATAGGCTGGGAGGGGTGGGAGTCCTGGATTCAAAGCTGGGCTCAACACAAGGTAACTGCACACAGGAGGTGAGGCCCACTGTCATTTCTGTGCGACCCAGATAATTGCTGCTTGATTGACTGGCCGACCGACCAACCAGCAGCGAGGGCTGTAGTCTCTCTGGGCTGCCTCGGCGCGGAGTCCCCGACCCCACACACTTAGGACCCAGTAGTGAGGCTCAGGGTCACTAGACCTCGAGCCCCCAGTCCCCAACAGCGCATTTCCAACTCTGAGGCCCGACCTGCAGGTTCCGGGTGATAAGGTGCAGCTTCTCTTCAGGGCTCGGAGCGTCCCCCATGACTCCGTCGCCCCTATCTCCCGCGCTCAGCCCGGCACCGCGCCGCTTCCTCGGTCGCCGCCGCCGCCGCGTGCCGGGAACTGTCACGAGGGCGCAGGTAGGTTGCATCAGCTGAGCTCGTCGCTCGGCTTCCTCGGCCTGAACCCTTAGCCTAAGAGCGGACAGGAAAGAGTCAGGAGCAACTGAGAGTCGAGCGGGTCGATGAGACGGAAAAGGGGCGGAGCCAGTAGGCAGGCTAGGCGGCACAGAGGGCGGGGTTGCGGCGTCTGCGCGGGGCACAACCCCCTGAGGGGCGGGGCGATTTCCTGCCAATCACTGCCTGTTTGCCCTCCCCCCTGCGCTGGCCCGGCTGCCTCGGGGTGGGGGAAGTCGGGGAGGGGGCGATAAAATGGCGCAGGGGGCGGAGTGAGGCGCAGTCTTTCGCCCAGGCTTCGGCCCCGCTTCCGGAGGTGAAGAGCGGGAGGGACGAGGGGGATTGCGTTCCCGGCTGGGAGGGGGATGGGGGCGCCTGTTGCTTCTCCAGGGGGCCATACATGCCCGTCCACCCCGTTGAAGGGTTGGGAGGCCTTCGCCCTGCTGGGAGAGGGCTGGTTGTCGTTCCTGAGGTGATGGCGGCGGGAGGGGGAGTGTCCCTGCGCCCCACCTCCACGTCGGCGGGCGGTAGATGCCCCTCACCCTGCTGAGGAAGAGGGAGGCCGTCGGGTCACCTGCGAGGCGGGGAGCGCTGTCAGTCTCCCTGCCCAGTGGGGGTGGGGGAGGATGGGTGTGTTGGGTAGGTTGGGGGTGCCGCTTCCCTTGCCCCACTTGGGGGGAACTGTTGCTAGGGAGAAGATTTTCCCGCCGCGCCCTGAGGGTGGGGGAGGGAGAGGATGACCCACCCCTTGGGCTGGCGGGGCCTCGGTCCCACCGAGGTGTGGGTGTGTGTGGCTACCCTCCGGGTGAGTGGTGCATCTCGCAGGCCTGTTGAGGGGTCGGTTTGGCCCCTGCGGGGGGAGGGGCGGGGAGCCAGCCCGCGCTTCTCCCGCCTTCCGCGGGGTGGCGGGAATTCTCGATGTTTTCGGAGGAGGGAGGAGGGAAGTGCGAAGGTCCGGCCCCGAGGGCGATGCAGTGCTGAGGCCGTCGCATTTCTGGGGGAGAGCAGGGGGCAGCCCAAGCAGTCTCCTACGAAGGGTGGACATGGGTCACCCTTCTTCCTGGCTCTCGGGACTGGAGGTGTCACCAGTTCCTTCCTGGGAGGGAGGGAAGGCAGCTGGCACCGCAGGGTGGGCCCCAGAGAGGGGAAAGAAGTGATTGGATTGCCTACCTGCTGATCTCCAGTTTCTTGTGGATTTGTTAGAGGCTGCAAGCTTTAGCTATCCTGTCTAAATTAAAACATTTTCTTTTTAAAAAGAAACCTGTTGCTGTAGCTTAGTAATACTTAGTTTCTATGACCCTGTGGAATGAGAATCCTGGAATCCGTATCTAGTGGAATGTTAACCTAAAGCAGAAATTTCCAGCCCTAGGTTGTTTTTGAGTCCTACAGTATTTCCATTTACTTCAAAGGAAGTTGCAGAATTCTTACAGATTATTTCAGTTCACTTTGATTTTAAGTGTTATGCCCATTTTACGGAGTGATAAAGCCTAGTGAGTGCCTTTTGTGCTGTGTGCTGCACATGTATTGCCTATTGGGGAAGGTTGGAAATCAAAGGCCTGTCCCTTGGAAATAATCTTTGCCCTTGGCCATACCTATCAGATCTAGCTTGGTAATGGTCTTGGTTTTAGAACCTTGAAAGAGGGATATAGGGTTGTGTCTGGTGTTGCAGTTTTAGTGGCCTGAATAAAATAAAGGCTTTGTGCTCTAAGGCAATAGGTTTTCTTAGGTACGATAAAAATAGAAAGGGAACCAGTTCCTGAGGTTGCAGCTAGGTGGTTAGAGAACAGAGCAAGGGGGTGGTAAACTGAAGTGTGAAGAAGGGGGTGGACAGGTGAGAGAGATGTGGAAGGACAGAATAGGGTCACAGGAGGGATGGGGAGCAGAGGAATTAAGAGATAGACTTGGGAGATGAGAAAAATATTCTTCCCTTAAAAATAAAGAGATCCTCATTTTAGGTGGAAGTTACAAAACAAGTGCCAAGAAAGGCAGTTAATGGTAGAATGGCAGACAGGCGCTAAGGCTGTCTTGTGGAAATTCACTTTAGACCTTAATTTTATCTGAGATTTCCCCCCTTTTGCAAATTCATTAAATATCAACTTTAATTAGTATAGGGCTTTTAGGTTTAGAGTGCTTTCATAAACATCCCCTCATTTGATCCTCATGATAATCTGTATTTGAAGATAACGGCATGTAATTGTATCCCCCATTTTTCAGATGAGTGTTCTCATCTGAATTGAGGTTCAGAGACTTTTAAGTGACTTGTGAGGTCTCTGAATTTAGGTCAGTCCCTCTTCTGTTACTTCAATAACTATTAATTCAAGGGATTTGCCCGATATTTCAGATGTCCACACAGCCTGGTCTTTAATTAATTCAGTGGCAATATGGTTGAATGCTCGGTTAAACTGAAAGAAATTAGAGTATACTAGATAATTTCTAACAAGCAAGGACCTAGGGGAAGTTCTCAACTAGATTAACATTCTTTCCTACCATTCCTGTGCTTCATTAAGACCTCTTTAGGGGTCAGGGAGGTGATGATGGTGGGATGAAATAGAAACTGTAGCCACTACTTAGCTTTTCCATTGTGCTTGTAGTACTTGAAGTGCTTTAGTTCACGGTCTCATTTAATTTTGGCAACAACACTATGAGGTAGCTACTGTGATGGTCCCTGTTGTATAGGAGAGGACATTTGAAACTACAGAATGTAATCATTGTCTTTCTCTACTGACTTCTTAATTTAAAACTATATTTTAAAGATTTTATTTATTTATTTGACAGAGAGATAGAGCAGGAACACAAGCAGGGGGAGTGGGAGAGGGAGAAGCAGGCCTCCCACCAAGCAGGGAGCCCAATGCGGGGGCTCAATCCCAGGACCCTGGGATCATGACCTGAGCCGACGGCAGACGCTTAACAACTGAGCCACCCAGGCGCCCCTAAAAATAATTTTATTATTAAATATTCTAAGCATATAAAATGTATAGGAAGTAACATAATGATACCATTATCACGCCATTCAGCTTTATTTTATCAATGTAGGCAGGCTGAATCCGAGTACTCAGAGGGGGTCTCTCAGATACCAGCCAACCAGGGTTCTTGGCTTTGTGCAGAATAGGAATCAAATGGGAGCCAGGAGGAAGCGAGAGCAGAGTTCATTGAATAGTGTGATAGAGTATAGCAGATGGAGTGTCTGGGACACTCCGAAAATGAAAAGTAAGTCGCTCTGTCACTTGAGGTTATGGGTTTATAGTGGAAAGGGGTCCAGGGTACATGTGCCTTCAGGAACCCAGGGAAGCCTCCGATCAAAGGTGAGTGTAAGGTGAACAATAGGTGTTATTCCATAAATCACTGAAGGTAGGGGATATCGATGCCAGTGTCAGCCAAGGTTTGTTTTAAGCTAATGTCTGGGAACATGTTTGGGATCTGGTTCTTACATGTTATCAGGTGTTTAAGGCCTAGGATGGAACTCAGAGAATGATTAACTTTCTTATCTCCCCTTGGAGTGGCAACATAGCTTCTTTGTTTTACTCAGATGCAAAATATAGAAGATGAGTAAACGGGACTTAGCAGAAAAATAGCAGAAATGGAATCTTTCTAAAATGGTTTCCCTGTCTCATTATGTTGCCCTTTATTTTTTTAAGCTCCAACACGGGCTTGAAGTCACAACCCTGAGACCGAGACCTGAGCTGCTATCAAGGGTCGGTTCCTTAACCTACTGAGCCACCCAGGCACCCTGCCATGTATATATTTTTAAAGTAATTTCTATGTGCCTGATGTGGGGCTCAAACTCACAACTCCCAAGATCAAGAGTCATAGGCTCTTGACTGAGCCAACCAGGCCCCCCCTTGCCATATTTTTTATAGGTCTTTTTTGTTCATTTTTTTAAAGAAATAAACATTATAGATAGAATTGAAGGTACTCATGTCCCCTTGCCATTTCTCTTCCCTCTCCACTACCAGAGGTAACCACTGTCTTGAATTTTGTGCTTCCTATTCCCATGCAAGTTTTTATAATTTAATGATATATGTATCCATACACTATATGGTATTGTTTCTCTAACAGATTGCAAGGGAAAAAAAAGACGGGGAATATATAGATTAAAATACAAAACATATCGACCAGTTGCCTTGTGTGGACTTACTGGATACTGATTTTTTTTAATCTTTAAAAATAATTTATAAAATAATTGGTTACCCAAACCATATATTTTATGGTAAGGAATCCTTGTTATTTACAGATGAAATGATGTGATGCCTGGGATTTGCTTCAAAATAATCCCATTAAGGGGTGCCTGGGTGGCTCAGTTAGCTAAGCGGCTGCCTTGCGGCTCAGGTCATGATCCCAGGGTCCTGGGAGCCCAGTGTGGGGCTCAAACTCAGCAACCGTGAGCTCAAGGCCTGAGCTGAGATCAAGAGTTGGACACTAAACTGACTGAACCACCCAGGTGTCCGGATTATACATTCTTTTTTTTTTTTTTAGATTTTTATTTACTTATCCATGAGAGACAGAGAGAGAGAAGCAGGCTCCCAAGGAGCAGGGAGCCCGATGTGGGACTCGATCCCAGGACCCTGGGATCATGACCTGAGCCGAAGGCAGTCGCTCAACCAACTGAGCCACCCAGGCGCCCCGGATTATACATTCTTTAAGGATGGAAACCATGTCTTTATTTTTTAAGAAGTCCTATAGAAACCAGTTATCTTGCTCAGTGCTGTGTGATGATATTAGCTCAGAAAATGTTTTCTGAAAGAATGCATGAGCTAAAGCTAAAATTCAGGAAGTGGAGGGAAAGCAGGGTGTGGGGAAATTCACAGAAGGCTAATAAGGAATTTTCCAAATTACTGAGTTTAGTGTTTAAGCATTTCTTATAGCTTCTCAGATGTTGAAATGATATATGAAATAGAAGTTTTTTTTATCACCTTTCCCATCTAGAAAATAATTTAGATTAGGTCCATCACTGTTTAAAAGCTAGGTTTTAATTATATAAGTAATTTACAAATATTCAAGTAGAAAAGTAGAATGACACTGAAGTCTCCCCTTGATGTCTCTTTGTCCCCTCATAGGTTATAACAGTCATCAGTTTTGTGTTTATATTTTTCTGGATCTGTTTTTTGCATTTTTTTTTTTTAAAAGATTTTATTTATTTGACAGAGAGACACAGCAAGAGAGGGAATACAAGCAGGGGGAGTGGGAGAGGGAGAAGCAGGCTTCCCGCGGAGCAGGGAGCCCGATGTGGGACTCGATCCCAGGACCCCGGGATCATGACCTGGGCCGAAGGCAGACGCTTAACGACTGAGCCACCCAGGCGCCCCTGTTCTTTGCATTTATATATAAATTGAAAATGAGACTTCGGCATGTGTGGTCATGATTAACTTGTAAATCTTGGTGGAATCTTAAGACATTGCCTCGTCCCTCTTCTCCATCCTGTCCCCATTTTTTATAAATGAGGAAACAAGTCCAAATGGTTAAGTGGCTCACCCAAATTACTACAGCTGGTTAGTGACAGAACCAGGACTACAAGCAAGGTCTCAGTACTCCCGAGCCAGTATTCATCTTACTGGAGCAAATGATATTCTTAAGAAAGTACAAAATTGTTGGGAGGAACAAAACTAGTTCCTTAGTTGCATAATTTTTCCTCTAAAGGTTTTTCTTTGATGTTCTTGACTCAAAATCCAACTTTCTGGTATTTAAAAAAAAATCAAGATCAAAATTAATAGGTGGAGCACCTTAAAGCATAATACAGTTGACTTTGTAATTAGCAGAGTTGAAAGTGATGAGAAGATCCTCTAATTTTCTTTGTGCCTGCAGGAAGGTGGGAGTCAATCATTTTGACAAGTCTCCTGAAAGGAACAGCTAGCGGGAGCTGAAACCTTTTTCCATTTGGTCTCGTGGCAAAGAGATCACACCAGCAGCTCCACACAGTATGGAAGACAATTCTTATATTCTTAAAGTGTTTTTTTTTTTTTTTTTAATTTTAGAAGTTGTACATTTGTTTTTTTAAAGTATAAACCGTGAGAATCCAAACATTTTACATAATATATATTTGTTTTATTTGTATGTTGTGGATATTAATCTATGATAGTATATATTGATCTACTTCATTATGTTTTAAATAGTTGTAAAGTATTCCATAGTATGGATGTACCATGATTTCACTGAGCAATTCTGGTGATGGACATTTAGGTTGTCTCCAATATTTGGCGCTTTTGAATAATGCTGCTTTGAACATCCTTACAAATGTATCCATGTGCACTTGTATAGGTACTGCTGCAGGAAAAATTCACAGAATTGAAATTGTGGGGTCAAATGGTATTGCAAATTACTCTCCACAAAATATTGTGCTGACTTACACTCTTTTATACTGATAGTGTGTGAGGATGCTTATTTCCTATATCCTTATCAACTTAGATATTATGGCATCCTAATTTTCACTATTTTGTTAGGAAGAAAATATGTCACTGTTCTAATGTATATTTCCATGATCCTGGTAAGGGTAAATATCTTAAAATTATTTCTCATGTTGCAAGTCACAGTGCAAAGAATTCGAAATATCAGGACACCACCACTGTAGAACAGATAGAAGTTGATATAGGGGTAATTCCTGTTCCTCAGTGAAATTGCCTCTTATTTTTCCAGATATGACGTGCTCACTTGTGCCCTCTGAACAGTCTTCTGGAACTTCTCTCTTGCCTAAAGACAATGCCCCATTTTCTTGGGGTTCCTTGGATGAGGATGGATTGGATGACTCCTTGCTGGATCTGTCTGAGGGAGAAGAAGATGATGGCCATTTTAGTTTCACAGAGGAAGATATTCAGGAGCTCTTGAAGGATGATGACCTTAAAGATGATAGCAGGCGTGTTGAGAAGGGAGGGAAAGGGAGTCAAATTCTATTTGATACTTCCCAAGAGAAAAATTCATTGTATAGCTTGGGACCAGTAGCTGAGACCCCTGGCCTCTTGAAACTACCTCAATTAAGTACATCAGTTGGTCATGGACCAACTCCTACTAAACCATTAAACAGACACTCTGCACTAGAAAAGAATCCTATAAAAATAACAGTTACACCGTTTGATCCAACAGTTTGTGATGCTGTGCTTGATAAGGACAAGACTGATTCATCCAAAGATACTGAAAAACCCTCCTCCCTTGGGGAAGAGATGAGAAAAGATGGTCTTAGCCCAGATGAGAGCAAACTCTGCACTGAGTCTAAAGGGATCAGTCCCAGTAATTCTGCTTGGGATGTGCCCCCACTCTCTTCTCCTTCAGACAATGACTTTGAACAAACTGTGTCTGATAAAAATATATCTGACGGTAAGAAAACTACACCTGTGTTCTCTCAGATCTTGGACCATTCAGAGACTCCGAATACGGGGTCTTCCTGGAAAAATGGATCAAATAAATCAAATTGTGAAGTGAGGTTTCCGGTTGTTTCCAGTTCATCAAACAAAGTAAGTATATTTTTTCAATGTAAAGAGAAAAATTATTTTCATTCACAAGCTGTATAGCAGAGCTTTGTATTCATCAAACAAATTGGGAGTTGAATCCTGACTAGAACTGTGACCTTGGTAAAATTCTTTAGCCTCTCTGTTTCCTCATATTTCTTATCTATAAATTGTACTAAATAATACTTCACAGTATAGTAAGGATTAATGAAATAATGTATTTATAGTAACTGGTATATAATATTAAATTACTACTTATTGAATAATTACTAAGATAATGATGATTTTACTATTATTTTTCCCTTCTTTGGGTTTCAGCTTAAGTCTCAATCTTTGGTTGCCACGCTAAATGAGATACAGCACCTGATCAGCCACTGAAGAGCTGAAAAATCTTGGGCAATTTTCCTAACCTCTTTGAGCCTGATTCCCTGTCTATCAAATGGGCATGCCACTTAGGATTTCTTCCTTTTCCTTAAAATTACAGTCACTATCTCATTTAAAGTATCTGTCATAGTGCCTGGTACACAGGAGGGTTCAGAAATATGCCTCTGTAGCCTTTATTAAGAATAAAAGAATATGTCCATCAATAGTGTTTTCAGCTTTTTCCTTATAATTATCTTTCCTTCTGCTCTGAACGAAAGCAGGATGTTCTTGACAAGGATTCGGGGAAGCTGAAAGTCAATGAGAGAAGACTAGGCAAAGTCATTCCTGTTCTGCAAGCCAAAACAAGGTAACAGTATGATAATATTCTGGTTTCTGTTTGTTCTCTTCAATTTCTTTCTTCCCCTCCTCAGTTACCCCTTAGTGTGGAGTAAAACCATGTACCAGGTGTAGGCATACTTTTAAGTTCTGGGACCACTAACATGTAGCTCTGTGACCTTGGGCAAGTCAAATGATCTGTGACTTCAGTTTATTTGTCAACAAATGAGGCTAATGATGCCTTTTCTGCTGCCTCACAAGGTTATTTTGGGAGTAAAAAAGACATATTAGTGAAAGCACTGTATAAATGTAAGATTTCTTTTCCTGTGCATCAGGAAGCCTGGTCACAGGACAGGAGGTTAGAATAATTTTAACACAAATATTAAAATACAATTATGTAGAAAATCCTTTTGTCATCTCTCCCAACTTGAGTGCAACTGTCCTTGGGGAAAAATTATAGTGGAGGTTGTGGATTTGGGTCACCTTTTCAATCTATTCTCTTGTTGCCAGGAGATGGCAGTGTCTACATGGGCCTTCTCAATTAGCAAAGCTATTTTTTAGGTTGAGTCAGATTGGCTTCCTTACAATGAGATTAAAAAAATTTTTTTTGATTATACAGATATTAAATTTTTTTTTATTTTATTTATTTATTTGACAGAGAGACACAGCGAGAGAGGGAACACAAGCAGGGGGAGTGGGAGAGGGAGAAGCAGGCTTCCCACTGAGCAGGGAGCCCAATGTGGGGCTTGATCCCAGGACCCTGGGATCATGACCTGAGCTGAAGGCAGATGCTTAACGACTGAGACACCCAGGTGCCCCTGCTTTAAATTTTTTATTTATTTTTATTTTTTTAAGATTTTATTTATTTATTTGACAGAGAGAGAGAGAGGGAGAGCAGCGCACAAGCAGGGGGAGCGACAGGCAGAGGGAGAGGGAGAAGCAGACTCACCGCTGAGCAGGGAGCCCAATGCAGGGCTCCATCCCAGGACCCTGGGATCATAACCCAGCCCAAAGGCAGACGCTTAACTGACTGAGCCACCTAGGCGCCCCACTGCTTTACATTTTTTTAAATAAATTAAAAATAAGGCTAACGTCCCCTTTGACTACTGTCCCTAACCCCAGTTTTTTGTTTTTTTTGTTTTGTTTTGTTTGCATAATTGAGGGAAACTTTGTGACTTACTTAAAGTGGAAATTATACCAAGGAGCCAAGTCAGGCTACTTGGGGCAGTTATGTACTTACTATCTCAATATTCTCATCCACTGACTCCACAGTTATCAGTGCAGTCAGGATGAGCAAGGGCCAGACATTGTTCTTGCCAAGGTCACCAGTATTCTAATTGCCACATCCAGCTGGTTCTTTTTTTTTTTTTTTTTTAAGATTTTATTTATTTATTTGAGAGAGAGAGAATGAGAGACAGAGAGCATGAGAGGGAGGAGGGTCAGAGGGAGAAGCAGACTCCCCGCTGAGCAGGGAGCCCGATGCAGGGCTCGATCCAGGGACTCCAGGATCATGACCTGAGCTGAAGGCAGTTGCTTAACCAACTGAGACACCCAGGTGCCCCCAGCTGGTTCTTTTTGGTCTTTATCTAATTCAGTTTTTCTGTGGCTATCAAGTTAGCTATGTCCTGATTAACCTTGAATTACTCAACGAGTGCTTTCTTTCTCTAGGGACTAGGTAATCTTCACTTTCTTATGCCCTGTTAACAGGAGTTTATATCTATTTCTCATCTTCCTTTTTTTCTTACCTTCATACTTGATTTCAGCTTTTTACTAATACTGTCTTCTGTCACTGGATCTTAAAGAGTATTTTGCCTCTGCAAGTTAGTAATTTTAACTGATCAGCAATATATGACTTCCCTCTACAAAGCACTATACTCATGGTTCTAATGAACTGTTTTTCCTCCTTCTGGTTTGCTTTGTTCAAGGACTAATGTTCCGACGTTTTCACAATCAGATCTAGAAAAGCAGAAGGAAAGTTATCTCAAGGAAGTCATTGCTCATATAGAACACCCGAAGGACACTAACCAAGGTAACATGGTAGCCAAAGAATGGCATGTAAAAGATGTGATGGGATTTTTTTTTTTCCAGGGTAATACAGATTAAACTGGGAGATTATTTTGAGTTTTCTTAAATTGATGAGAGAGATAACTTTCTTACCCAAAGATTTTTACTTGAAGGGATTGTCTAACCAAATAAGATCTTAAGTGGTTTGGCTAACCAGTATTAGAGGGTGATCCAAGGAGACTCATACCAGTACATGAAGAGTGCCTCCGCTATGGTTGAGGGCTGAAACCAGACCTGTAGTTTTTTAGATAGGGAATTTTTTGTTTGAAAAATAGAAGTGGATGACCAGGGGCTGCTTAGTAATTGTTAGTTTTTTATTTAGAATTATTTCTTTTCCTTGTTTCCTTTAGGATTTAAATGTAAAAAGCAAGTATTTCAAATACCATTCTGCATCTTGACATTTGAATAAAAGCTCTTAAAAGGTTTTGACTACCTTCCAGATTCTTCAAGCTGAGTTCTCCCTGGTTCACTAAAAGCTCTTACAAACCAAAATGACAGGATTCTTTCTCCAGGCCTCAAGAGATTATTGTCTATGTTATTATTCATCCTGGACTAGTAGCTGATCGGAAAGCTCCTAAAGGGAGGGGAACTTGTGGGCTATAATGAAGGTGCCGAGATTAGAGAGGTACTGATAAAAGGATTCTTTCTCATGAAGATTGCTCCATATTCCATCATCTTCAGCTTCTTTGTTCATTTAGCAAACCTTTCTCAACTACTTTCAGTGGTGGTAGGTTTGAAGATTAGGGATTGGAAATGTAAAGAGGATCAAAGTAGGGTCCTGGCTCTCTAGGAATTGATAGATCAGAGAAGGAAAAGATAATTATACCACATTATTGATTGGAATACCTCTAATCAGTAGAGATATAATTCTAATAGAATTGTGTATAAAGTGCACTAGGAGCAAGGAAGAAGCACTTTTGTTTGCGTTTGGGGACAGTGGAAGATGGGGAAAGAGGATGCTCTAGGTAGGCTCCATGGGGAAGATAATTCTGTTACTCGAAGATCTGTCATAAATCACTAGGAAGAGTTTTAGGGGAACTTTTCGCCGAAGATTCAGAGGAGACTCCCCTTTATTTATGAATCTTTAATTATTTAGTAGTTTTAGAACTACATTGGCCAGAAGAATTTTTTATTCCAGGTCCTTTTATTTTTTAGTCACAGCTTTCATTAAGCATTCAAATGCTACTTGTAATGATTGCTCAGCTCTCTGCTTGTGAGCTCTCTTTGTTTGAACTGTTTTAAAGGTCTGGCTGGTGGAACTAGAGACATTCCTCTCCCACTGGCCTGGACCCCCTTCACCCGGGTCATTGATTGGAGGGGCAGATTAAAAGAAGTTTGTATATATTTAACCTCTGTGGAAGAGACTTGAACATTGCTTTTCCCTCTGTGAAGTGACCTTCTTTTATGTCCTAGGCAATTCAGACTGATGATATCCAATTATATTTTCCTTTCTCATTTGGGGCATTTAGAAAAGAAAATTTCCTAAGAAAAGCAGTGAGCAGCTGCTCATGTTTGTAGCATCTTTTCCAGTCTCTCTCCCATTCAGCAGTCTCTCTCCTACTTTACCATAGTAATCTGTATCCCATGAGGAACAACTAGAATAATGCATATAGAGGAAAGACAGCATACTTTAGTGGTTGGGAAAGTAAAGTCTAGTCTAAAGTTAACTTCTGGGTTCATACCCTAGCTCCACTGCTTACTGGCTTTTTGACCTTGAGCCAATAAAAACTCAGTTTTCTCATTTGCAAAATGGGTGTAATAATGAGGCTTAGCATATGTGAAAATTTAAGTACAACTGTAATGCATAGAACAGTACCCAGCCATAGCTGCCGACATTTATTGAACACTTGGTATTATTCACAAGAAAGGGTGTCCTTTCACACTGGTTTTTATAGGTAAAATAGTATGATGTCAGGTGTTTGTTTTCAGATCTTGAAAAAAAAAGCCAAAACCCTGGAAAATTAGAGGAAACAACTTTAACAAAATGTTGATGAATGAAGCTGAACGATAGTTATGTGTGGGTTCGGTATGTTATTTTCTACTTTGTGTCTATTTGAAAAAATATCCATAGTAAAAAGTTACTTATTTTTTTTAAAGTGCATCTTTTAGGGGATTCCTTTTTGACATCTAAGAACTGTGAACATCACCAATTATTCTAAAAATTTCACAGGCCTCTGGTGTCCACAGGCTTCTGCTTTCTAGGAACCCAGTGTGCTACCATGTTCTTGTGTTCCTTCCCACTGCCTGCTATTCGTGCATCCAGAGTTTAAAGATTATATACTAAATTGCAGAGGAGAGTGGGGGGGTCATATTTCATTGCTCCTCTATTTATATATGAAGTAAAGAGCAACCAGAAGCAAACAGAGGAAGCATATAGTGCCTCCTGTCCTTTTTGATATGTGTAGTGCTCAGTCACCTTGGAAAAGTATAACTGTTCAAGTTCTTTATTAGATACAGAGAAATTAAAATGAGTGGATTTAAATGTAGTTCCTGCCAATTCAGTTTGAATCCTCTCCATTGGGTTAATCATCTTTCACTTTATCAATAATGTGTATGTTTTTGGTACAGAATATGATAATGTAAATCATCCTTCAACTAAATAATCTCTTTTTAGTTTAATGCCACATGAGTCTCTAATAACATTTAGAAAGAAATACCAGCAACTTCTTCCTGACATTGCAGCTCATGGAAAACTTTATATGGAATTATAAGTTCTAGAGTAGAAAAGGATCATTAAGATTTTCTTAATGTATCAGTATATATCTCTTTGCCAAGTGACCATTCAGCCTTTGCTTAGAATTCTAATAATACAAAACTCATTAAATCATGAAGCAGGCCATTCATTGCTTAAAAAATTCTAATTCTTAGAAAAGTTATTCTTTACATTGAGCCAAACTCTGCTTCCCTGTAGTTTCCAGTGATAGTTTCTAGTTCTGCCCTCTGGGATCACAAAAAATAGCTATTACCGTCCAAATACTTAATGTATTCTAAGGACCTTTTCATGTTAAATATCTCAAGATTTTTAATGATTACAAAGTATTATATAATTTATTATTCCGTCTTGGATAATTAGGTTGTGCCCATTTTCATTAGTAATGCTGCAGTGAACATTCTGGTCAATAAATATTTATGTACAACTCTTATTTCTATAGGATGAATACCTAGAAGTGGAATTGCTGGGTAAAGTATATAAATATTTTAAAAACCTCTGTTACATGTTACCAGATTGTCCTGCCCCCAAAAATTGTATTAATTTTTTTGTCACCAGTTTGATAGGTAAATTTTAACATATTTTGTTTTAATAATTAGTGAGGTTAAACATTTTTTATTTATTTATTTTTGAAATATATATTTAATTATAATTTTTAAAAATCATTTAATATCTAGTTTATATTCCAGTTTCCCCAGTTGTCCCAAAAATGTCTTCTTGTAAATTGTTCAAACAGGATCTAATCAAGGTTCACGTGTTTAATTATTGTCTTCTTAGTCTCTCTTAATCTAGGTCACTTGTTTTGTAGATTGTCTCACATTCTGAATTGTGTCTGATTGTTTCCTTGTGGTGTCGTTTAACTTGTTCCTCTATCCCCCTGTATTTCCCGTAAACTGGAAGTTGGATCTAGAGGAGGGATTAGATTTAGAGTAAGCATTTTTGGCTGGTATAATTTATAGGTACTGTTGTCTATTTATCCTGTATCAGATTAGGGGGCATCACCTAATGACAGGGTGTTCTAATAGTGATGCTAAGTTTGATTACTTTGTTAAAGTGTTAACTGCCATGGGGCGCCTGGGTGGCTCAGTCAGTTAAGCATCTATCTTTGGGTCAAGTCATGACCCTAGGGTCCTGGGATCCAGCCCTGCGTCGAGCTCCCTGCTCAACTTGGAGCCTGCTTCTTCCTCTCCCTCTGCCTGCCGCTCCCCCTGCTTGTGCTCTCTCCCTCGCTCTCTCTCTGTCAAATAACTAAAGTCTTAAAAAAAAAAAAAAAATGAAGTGTTAACTGCCACATCTTTCCATTATAAGGCACATTTTCCCCTTTGTAATTAGTAAGTCATCTGTGGGGTATTGCTTCAGTATCATTTGAATATCTTGTTCCACAGCAGTTCTTAATTATTTGAATATTCATTGATGATCCTTACCTAAATCGGCTACTATACAGAGAGTTGTATAGAAAGTGTTCATTTTCTAAATATATAATTTCTTTTACAATGATTACCTACCATTCTTCTATGAAGATTTTTTTTAGTATCACTATTACCTCATAGATTTTTTTGTTTGTTTGTTTTTTTTGTTTTGTTTTTTTTGAGAGACAGAGAGCATGAGAGGGAGGAGGGTCAGAGGGAGAAGCAGACTCCCTGCCGAGCAGGGAGCCCGATGCGGGACTCGATCCAGGGACTCCAGGATCATGACCTGAGCCGAAGGCAGTTGCTTAACCAACTGAGCCACCCAGGCGCCCCTTACCTCATAGATTTTTAAAAATTAATGTGTTATAGTTGATAATAGTCATTACTTTTTTTTGATGCTCTGTTTGTCTCAAATTTGACCAATGGGAACTCCTTCCTTCAAGTGGGCTCCTGTGTCTACTGACATGACTCTATTAATCTTTTTTTTAAAATTGTGGTAAGCAAAATAACATAAAATTCACCAATTAAACCATTTTTAAGTGTGCAGTTCAGTAGTGTTAAATTTATTCACATTAACTTTTTTTATCTTGCAAGTCTCAAACTCTATACATACCATTAAAAAACGACTAGCCTTTTTCCCTTCCCTGTAGTCCCTGGTAAACACCATGCTACTTTCTGTTTCTGTGAATTTGCCTAAATAGATACCTCATATAAGTGGAATCAAACAGTACTTTTTATGACTGGCTTATTTCATTTAGCATAATGTCCTCAAGGTTCATCTGTGTTGTAGCATGTGCCAAATTTCCTTCCTTTTTATGGCTGAATAATATCCCATTATATGTATATACCACAGTTTATCCATTTATCCTTCAGTGGACATTTGAGTTGCTTCTACCTCTTGGCTGTTGTGAATGATAATGCTTTGAACATGGGTGCGCATCTGCTAGAGATACCTATCTCCTCAAGACCCTGCTTTCAGTTCTTTTGGATATGTACCCAGAAGCATTGTTAGATCATATGTAGTTCTACTTTGAATTTTTTGAGGAAACTCCCTCCTGTTTGACACAGTGGTTGTACTATTTTACAATCCCACTGACAGTGTATAAGGGTTCCAGTTTCTCTACATCCCCACCAACGCTTGTTATTTTCTGTTTTCTGGTGGTAGTTGCCCTAAATGGTGGTTATATCCATATCCATCGGTATTATAGCTATGCAAATATTGCTCACTGCGAAGTCAGATAGTATACTATGGTTTCATTTTCTCGAATCTGTTTTTCTGAAGTAGTTAATTACCACACTTGTTTTTTTAAACTATAAATTAATTTATCCTTAATTTTTTTTTACAAATGTAACTTACATCCTTATCTATGTTGTCTGTGTGTCTGTGTCGTGCCCCCTCCCCCCCAAATGCCCAGACATACCCAGTAATCTATCAATTCCTTTAAAATTTTTTTCTGGAGACCTTTCTAGAGCCTTGTGTTCTGCTCCAATCTATACTGCTTGTTCTGTAGCCTTGCTGCAGAGCTATCATCCTGGTGTTTCCCTTTGCTGCCTTCCTGGATTGAATCCTGTTCTGGATCCCCATTTCTTCCTTTTGATCTATTTTAGTGGAGCACATTCTTTGAGAATTTCTAAGAAAATGATGGATAAATTTGGGTGGCCCTTCCATATCTGAAAACATCCTTATCCTCATACTTGATTGGTAGTTTGGTATAGAATTCTAAATTAAAAGTCATTTTTCCTCAGAATTTTGAAGGCATACATCTAATGTTCTTGTGAAGAAGTCTGTTATTAATTTAATTTTTATTCCTTTTAATGTAACCTGCTTTTTTCTCTCTGGAAGTTCTTAGCCTTCTCTTTATCCATTATTTTATGCAAATTAGTCCACTTGCTGGGACATTTTCTTATTGGCTTCTTTACTTTCATATTCACATTTATGATTTCTAAGAGTTTTTTTTTTTCCTGTTCTGTTCCCTTTGCATATTATGTTGTTCTTATTTTATGAACTAATTGCTTATCTCAAGATTTTTTTTTTTTTTTTTTGTTTAAAGATTTTATTTATTTATTTGAGAGGGAAAGAGAGAGGGAGAGAGAGAGAGTGTGCAAGAGCAGGAGGAGGGAGAAGCAGGCTTCCCGCCGAGCAAGGAGCCCGATGTGGGACTCAATCCCAGGACCCTGGGATCATGACCTGAGCCGAAGGCAGTCGCTTAACCGACTGAGCCACCCAGGTGCCCCGATTTTCTTCTTTTTTGAGTAATAATTCAAATACAGTAAACACAAATTTAACGTATACAACTTGTTGAGTTTTGACATTTCTTTACACCCATGAAACTCACTGCAATTAAGATAAATATACCACACCACAAAGTTTCTTTGTGCCTCTTTGTAATTCCTCCTTCCTGCCTTTCCTTGCCCCCTTCAATTCCCAGGCAACCACTGATCTGCTGTCACTATAGTTTGTAATTTCTAGAATTTTATGTAAATGGAATCATACAGTATATATACTAGCTTTTCTCAAAGCAAAATTATTTTGAAATTCATCATTTTGTTGATAGTTTATTCCTTTTCATTGCTGAGCAGTATTCCATTATAGAAATATACCACAATTTGTTTATCCATTCACCTGTTGATGGACATTTGGGTTGTTTCCAAATTTTGGCTATTACCAATAAAGCTGTTATGACTATTCATGTACAAATCTTTGTATGGATATGCTTTCATTTTTCTTGAGTAAAAATCTAGGGGTAAAATGACTGGGCCATATGGTAGGTGTATGTTTAATTTTTTAAGAAACTACCAAACCTGGGGCACCTAGGTGGCTAAGTTGGTTAAGCATCCGACTCTTGATTTCGGCTCAGGTCACGATCTCAGGGTCGTGAGATTGAGTCCCGAGTTGGGCTCTGTGCTCATCTGGGAGTGCTTGAGATTTTCTCCCTCTGCCCCTCCCCCAACTCATGCTTGCTCTCTCTCTGGCTGTCTTTCTGTCTCTCAGATAAATAAATCTTTAAAAAAAACCCAAACCACCAAACTTTTCCAAAGTGGTTATACTATTTTATATTCTCACTAGCAGTGTATGAATTCCAGATGATCCCATCCTTACAAAGGATTGTTTGTTGCCAGTATATAGAAATTCAGGTGATTTTTGTACATTGATCTTATATTCTGCAGCCTTGCTAATAAATTCACTTGTTAGTTTTGGTACCTTTTTTGTAGATCGCATCAGTTTCTGTATCTATGATCATCAGCAAATAAACACATTTTTACTTGTTCCTTTCCGATTTGGATGCCTTTTATTTAATTTTTTTGCCATATTGCACTGGCTAGAACTCCAGTACAATGTTTAATACAAGTAATACAGGTAACTTGTTGCTGATCTTAGGAGGAAAACATTTAGTCTTTCACTATTATGTTAACTATAATGTTAGCTGTATCTCCTAGATACCCATTATCAACTTTACACTCTTGAGAGTGTTATTAGAAGTGGATACTGGATTTTGTCAAATAGTTTATCTGCATCTGTTGAGATGATCATAGTGTTGTGTTTTTTAAAGTCCATTAATTAGACAATTATACTATTTGATTTTCCAGTGTTAAGCCAGTCTTGCATTTCTGGTCTTAATTCATTCTGCACTTGGTTCTTAAAGTATTATCCTTGTAAAGTAATAGCATTGGGTTGATTCGCTAAAATTTTATTATGCATTTTTGCATCTGCCTTAATAAGGGATATTGGTCTATACTTGTAATTTCTTGATCTGGTCTTGGTGTCAGAGTAATGTTGGCCTCACAGAATGAATTGGGAAGTATTTCTACCTCTTCAAATTTTCTGGAAGAGTTTGTATAGAAGAATTGGTACTTCTTTTTGGGTAACCTTTGTAGTCTTTCAAGGAATTTGACCATTTCATCTAAGTTGTTAAATTTATTAACATGAAATTAATAACATTCCCTTATTAGCCTTTTCCTTATTTATTTATGTTTGTTTATTTATTTTAAAGATTTTTATTTATTTATTTAGAGAGAACCAGGATGCAGTTAGGGAGAGGGGGAAAGGGAGAGAGAGAATCCCAGGTAGACTTTGCTCTGAGCACAGAGCCCAATGGAGGGTGGGGGAGCTCGATCTCACAACCCCAGGATCATAACCTGAGCAGAAATCAAGAGTCAGATGATTAACCGAGTGAGCCACCCAGGCCCCTGCCTTTTATATAGTATTCTCTAGTGATGGTTATCTTTCCCATTCTTGGTATCAGTAATTTGTGTTTTCTCTCTTCTAATCAGTCTAGCGAAAAGTTTATGAACACTATGATGTAGTACTTTCTTTAAAAAAAAAAAACAGCTTTTGTTTTACTGATTTTTCTCTATTTTTCTATTTTCTATTCATTAATTTCCATTCTGATATTTATTATGTCCTTTTTTCTGCTTACTTTGTGTTTCATTTGCTCTTTTTCTAGTTTCTTTATATGGTTGCTAAGACCGTTTTGAGACCTTTCTTTTCTAATTTAGTAAGGGATGTTACGAACTAGAGAGATATATTCATGCAGTCTCTGTTTATGCCTTGCCCTTTTTTTAAAATCAACTTTACTGAGGTATACTTTACATGCAATAAAATGTACCCATTTTAAGGGTACATTTTGCTGAGCTTTGACAAATTTATGCACCTGTGAAATCATCACAACAATCAAGATTGATAGAACATTCCTACTATCCCCCAAATTTCCCTTGTGCTCCATCTCAGTCATTCTGTCCCTGCCCAGCTCCTGCACTGGGAAAGCACTGATTTCTTTTTGGTCACTCTAATTAGATTTGTCTTTTCTAGAGTTTCATATAAATTGAGTCATGAAATATGTGTCCTTTTGTGTTTGGCTTATTTTACTTGGAGTAATTTTTACATATTTACCTTTGTTGTTGTGTGTATATAGTAGTTCTGTAGTTTACTGCTGAATTTTTCCTTGTATTAATATACTGTAGTTTAGTCACTTGTTGAAAGACATCTGTGCTTCTAGTCTTTGGCTGTTATGAATAAAGCATCTATGAACATTCATATATGGGTTTTTGTATAGATGTGTATTTTCATTTCTCCAAGGTAAATAATTAGAGTGGAATTGCTGAGTCATAGAGTGTTTGTATAACTTTTCCAAAGTGATCATACTATTTATTGTGAGTTTTGTATTGCAAAGGCTTAGGTTCTTTTTTATATATGCATATGTAGTTATTCTAGCACCATTTGTTGAAAAGATGATCCTTTCCATGGATTTCTGAATTCTCTATTCTGTTCCACTGATATACATGTCTGTTCTTACGCCAATATTATACTGTCTTGATTACTATAACTTACAGCAAGTCTTGAAATTATTTGGATTTCTATAACTTTTAAAAAAAATTAACTTCAGCTTGTCAGTTTGTTCAAAAACACCTGTTGGGTATTTCATTGGGATTGTGTTGAATCTATAATAGATCAATTTGGGGAGAACTGACATCATAACAATACTTGAGCCTTCTAATCTGTGAACAGGATATATTTCTCCATTTATTTATGGCCTTGTTAATTTCTGTCAGTAACATCTTGTAGTTTTTATTGTACAGATCTTGCACGTATTTGGTTAAATTCATCAGTATCTCAGTGCTTTTTTATAATTTAATAAATGGTCACCACCATAAGTATAGTCACCATACAATATTATTAAAATATTACAATATTCTGTATGCTGTATTTTTCATCTCCATGACTTGCTTATTTTATAACTGGAAGTTTGTACCTCTTAATTTCCTTTATCTATTTCACCCATTCCCCCACCCACCTTCCTGTTGGCAACCACAAGTTTGTCCTCTCTGTTTAAGAGTGTGTTTGAGTCTTTCTTGTTTTTTTGTTCATTTGTTTTGTTTTTTCGGTTCCACATATAAGTGAACTCATATTTGTCCTCTGTCTGACTTATTTCTCTAACGTTATACCACCTAGGCCCATCCATATTGTTGCAAATGATAAGATCTCATTCTTTTTTATGGCCGACTAATATTCTTGTGTGTGTGTGTGTGTGTGTGTATTTATTCATTCATCTATTATAGACAGTTAGGTTGCTTCCATATCTTGGCTATTGTAAATAATGTTGCAATAAGCATAGGGGTGCATATATATTTTCAACTTAATGTTTTTGCTTTCTTTGGGTAAATACCCAGGAGTGGAATTACTGGATCATATGGTATGTCTATTTTTAATTTTTTGAGGAACCTCCAATACTGTTTTCCATAGTGGTTGCACCGGTTTACATTCCCAGCAATAGTCCACAAAGGTTCCCTTTTCTCCACATCCTCACCAACAGTTGTTATTTTTTGTTGTTTTGATACTAGCCATTCTGACTGGTGTGAGGTGATATCCCATTGTGGTTTTGATACTTTTGGTAACTTTTTGATAAATCCCATAGGGTTTTCTGTGTTAACATGGTATCTCCAAATACGGACAGTTTATTTCTTCCTTTCCAATCTATAGGCCTTTGTTTCTTTTTTTTGCCTTGCTGCACTGGCTAGGACCTCTAGTACATTAAGTATATTAGCTGTAGATTTATCATTGATACCCTTTATCAGGTTTGAAGAAGTTCCCCTTCTTTTGGTAGTTTGGTGAGAGTTTTTATCATGAATGAGTGGTGAATTTTGTCAGTTGAATTTTCTGCATTTATTTAGAAGGTCATATGGTATTTTGACTTATTCTGTAATGTGGTGTATTACATTTATTGATTTTTGACTCTTAGGCTAACTTGCATTCCTAGGATAAACTCACTGGCCTTACTGAATTATCCTTAATTAAGTTTGCTAATATTTTTAAGAGTTTTTACATCTTGTTTATAAGGAGTTTTGGTTTTTCGTTTTTCTTGTGTTGTCCTCTAAGTATCATAGTAGTACTGGCTTCATAAAATAAGTAGGGAAGTGTTTCAGTTTATGTAGGATTGGTATTTATTCCTTTAAATGTTTGATAGAATTTATCAGTGAAGCCATCTAACCCTGGAGGTTTTTTTCAGAATTTCTTTATCTTTGCATCCATATCGATAATTTGTGTCTTATAGGAATTTGCCCATTTTTATCTAAGTTTATTATTTTATTGGCATAAAATTATTCATGATGTTCCTTTATTATTTCTTTAATTACTGTAGGATCTGTAGTGATGGTTACCGTTTCATTTCTAATATTGGTAATTTGTCTTTTTTTCGTGGACAATCTAGTTAAAGTTTTATCAGTTTTACTGATTTTTTTGCCCCCAAAGCAAATTTTTAGTTTCATATTTCTGTATTGTTTTTGACTATTACATTTTTATTTTTTTCTCCACTTTGTTGTTGCTTTTCTTCTACTTACTTTGGGTTTAATTTGCTCTTCTAGCTTTTTTTTTTTTTTTTTTTTAAGATTTTATTTATTTGACAGAGAGAGACATAGTGAGAGAGGGAACACAAGCAGGGGGAGTGGGAGAGGGAGAAGCAGGCCTCCCGCCGAGCAGGGAGCCCAATGTGGAACTCCATCCTAGGACCCTGGGACCCCGACCCGAGGCGAAGGCAGACGCCTAATGACTGAGCCACCCAGGCGCCCCGTCTTCTAGCTTTTTAATGTGGAAGGTTAGATTACTGATCTGAGATCTTTCTATTTTCTGTAAGCATTTTTTTTTTAAGATTTTATTTTGAGAGAGAGAGCATGAATGGGGAAGGGCAGAGAAGAAGCAGACTCCCTGCTGAGTGGGGATCCTCCCCCCCCATGCAGGGCTCAGTCCCAGGACTCTGGGATCATGACCTGAACCAAAGGCAGACACTTAAATGACTGAGCCACCCAGGCGCCCCTTCTGTAAGCATTTAAAGCCACAGGTTTTCCTTTAAGTGCTGCTTAGGTGCATCCCACAGATTTTGATATATTTTTATTTGCATTTGGCTCAAAGCAATTTCTGTTTCCCTTGTGATTACTTCTTTGACTTATGGGTTATTTAGAAGTGTGTTACTTAGAGGCGCCCACTGGGATCGAGCCCCACCCCACGTCCAGGTTCCCTGCTCAGCGGGAGGTCTGCTTCTCCCTCTCCCACTCCCCCTGCTTGTGTTTCCTCTCTTGCTGTGTCTCTCTCTGTCAAATAAATAAAATCTTAAAAAAAAAAAAGAAATGTGTTACTTAATTTCCAAATATTTGAGAGTTTTCATCTATCTTCCTATTATTTTTAGCTTAATTCTGTTGTGGTCAGAGAATATTTTCGGTATGAGTTCAATTCTTTTAAATATACTGAGACTTATTTTTATAGACCAGCATATGGTCTGTTTGGTGAATGTTCTATGTGCACTTGAAAGTGTATATTCTGATGTTGGTGGAGTGTTCTATACATTTCAGTGAGGTTTTGTAGGATGCTGGTGGTGTTCAATTCTATATCCTTACAGATTTTCTAACTAAAAGAGGAGTGTTCATATCTCCACTCTAATTGTGGATTTTCCTGTTTCTCCTTTCACTTCTGTCCGTTTTTGCCTCTTGTATTTTGAAACTCTGGTATTGGAGGCATACACTTTTAGGAATATTATATCCTCTTGATAAATTGACCCCTTTTATCATTATGAACATTTTTTTAATCTTAGTAACATTCAGTATTAACATTCTTAGTAATACTCTGTTTAGAAGTCTACTTTGTTTCATATTTATGTAGCCATTAAGCCTCCTTTTTTTTTTTTTTTTAAAGATTTTATTTATTTATTTGACAGAGAAAGACACAGCGAGAGAGGGAACACAAACGGGGAGTGGGAGAGGGAGAAGCAGACTCCCTGTCGAGCAGGGAGCCCGATGCGGGACTCGATCCCGGGACTCCAGGATCATGACCTGAGCCGAAGGCAGTCGTTAAGCCTCCTTTTCACTACTGTGTGCATGATACCTTTTTTTTTAATCTGTTCATATCTTTGTGTTCTAAAGTGGATGTTTTGGGGCACCTGGGTGGCTCAGTTGGATAAATGTGCGACCTGTGATTTCAGCTGAGATCATGATCTCAGGATTGTGAGATGGAGCCTCTCATCCCGTGCAGGTGCTGCGTTTGGAGTCTGCTTGAGATTTTCTCTCCCCCTCTTTCTCTCCCTTTGCCCCTCCCCGCTCCTTCTCTAAAAAAAAAAAATTAAAATAAAGTGGATGTCTTGTAGGCACTATATAGTGAGTCTAGCTTTTCTTTTTTCCAGCCTTACAATCTCAGTCTTTTAATTTGAGCGTTAGTCCAGTCAGTATGGCTGGTTTTAAATCTACCATCTTATTACTTGTTTTCTATTTGTTTATGTTCTTTGTGTCTTCTTTCATCTTTTCCTGGCCTTTTTTTTTTTTTTTAAGTATTTTTAGTATTCCATTTTATCTCCATGCTTGATTTATTACCTATACCTTTGTTTTATTTTTAGTGGTTGTTCTAGGGTAGTAGTTCTCAAAGTTTTTGGTCTCAGGACCCATTTACACTCTTAGAAATTCAGGACCCCAAAGTTTTGTTTGTATGGGTTACATCTCTCTATACTCAATCATATTAAAAGTTAGAACTGAAAAATTATTTAAATATTAATATATTTAAAAAATAAACTTTTGCACATTAACATAAATAATATGTTTTTATTAAAAATAACTTAAAAAAAAAAAGTTATCTCTACACACAACATGGGGCTTGAACTCACAACCCAGAGATCAAGAGTGGCAGGCTCCACTGACTGATCCAGCCAGGCGCCATTAAAAATAACTTTTTTTTTTAGAGGAGGGGAGGGGCAGAGGGAGTGGGAGAGAGAATCCTAAGCAGGCTTCACGCCCAGTACAGAGCCTGACACAGGGCTCCATCTCACAAACCTGAGATCATGACCTGAGCCGAGATCAAGAGTCCAATGCTTAACTGACTGAACCACCCAGCCGCCTCTAAAAATAACTTTTTTAAAACAAAACCAAAAATTTAGGGAGAATAATGGCATTGATTTACATTTTTGCAAATCTCTTTTAATTCCTGGCTTAACAGAAGCCTGCCAGATCCTCATATGTGGTTCTGTACTCTGTCGTCATATAGCCTCTTGAGAATTCCATGGTACACTTGAGAGAATGCAAGTGGAAAGGACAAATAACATCTTAGTATTGTGTTGAAAATAATTTTGACCTTGTAAAGCCTCAGAAGGGTGTGGAGGGACTCCCAGGGACTCTTGAACACACCTTGAGAACTGTGATTCTATTGTTTACAATATGGATCTTTAACCTACCAGTCCGCCTTCAAATAATACACCACTTAACATATAATATAAGGCCCTAATAACAGTACACTTCAAAATCTCCATTCTGGTTTTTTTTTAAGTTTATTTGTTTATTTAAGTAATCTCTACACTCAATGTGGGACTCGAACTCATGACCCCAAGATCAAGAGTCGAGTGCTCTTCTGACTGAACCAGCCAGGTGCCCCTCCATTCTGTTTTTTATGCTATTATTTTTATACATTTTACATATACATACATGTTTAACCCTTCAACCCATTCAACAGTTATCTTTTAAAGACTTTTTAAAATGAGATAAAGTCTTATATTTACTCACATATTTACCATTTTCAGTGCCTTTGATTCTTCTCCATCTGTTATTTTCCTTTTTCCTGATGAATTTTTAGTTTCTTATAGTGCAGGTCTGCTGGCAATGAAGTCTCTCTGCTTTTGTTTTATTTACAAAGTGTTTGTTTTGCCTTCATTTTAAACTTTTTATTTTGAAAAGTTATAGACTCAGAGACTCATAAGAAGTTTCCAGGTTCACTTCAGTTACTTCCCTTCTCTCAGGAATCACGATTCTGAGCAGTCTGAAAACAGTTGTTTCATATATTTTGCCCAGTTTCTAGTTGCTTACTAGAATGGGAGGTAAGCCCATTCATCATGCTTAGGAGTAGAAGTCTCTGCTTTGATTGTTAATGGAGATCACAAGCAACAATGGTTATGTACATTCTGCGTCTGCATTTGGCATTACTGTTGAGGACATTCATATGTCACTCAATAGCCCCCATCTAATACATCACTTCAAAAATGAGTTA